CACTCTTCTTCCTTTGGTACGGACAATGTCATAATACCTGAGGGTCCATTAAACTTTAAGGATGTTGTTCCATTTGGTAGGAACGTAATCTGCGCTTGTAATTTGGATAGCATATCACGCCCCAGCAATTGGACTGGACACTCAGGCATATAAAGGAATTGATGTTTTACTACGTGGCCTCCCAATGTACAGAGTCGACTTTTAAGAACCGGTTTTTCAGCACTTCTTCCAGTTGCTCCTATTACAGTAATAGTTCTTCCAGATGGAGGAGCAACTTGATTAGTCACCACCGAATGTTCAGCACCAGTGTCGATCATGAACGCACTCCTTTTTCCCCCTATTGATACATCGACCATAGGCTCCGCTCGACCAAGGGGGATGGAGCCCGGTCGGTATCAATAGTCCTCCATGACCGTGTCAGCCAATCCCACAAAGTCCCTACCTTCTCTATCGCGGGACCTTTGCGCTGCTGGATAGTACCTATCTTCCCTTACACTTCCTCTGTTCCCATTACTCCCTCTATTACCATTACTCCCTCCGGGGCCTCCTCTACCTCTCGCTCTGCCTCTAAAGTTTCCGTAACCTGCCCTGGGTAAGTCTCTCTCATACTGCTCTCTTTGCGGACACTCGTTCCTCCAATGCCCTTCTTCCTTACAGTACGCGCACTGATTCCTACTCAAAGGCTCCCTATTCCATCTACCATCGCCTCTATCTGGGCCCCGTCTATCTACGCCTGCGATCGCTACCGCTAGCATATCTGCCTTTCTACGCATCTTGCGCTCTTCCTCTTTCTTACTTTCTGTTTCCCTATTCATATATACTTTGTTCGCTACCTCCATTAGTTGGGTGATAGACATACCTGCAAACCCTTCTAATTTCTGTAGCTTGCGCTTAATATCTCCGTAAGCTTGGCTGACAAAGGCGGAGTTTACCATTCGGGAATTATCAGCGTCTTCCGGATTAAAGGGGGTATACAAGCGGTATGCCTCCAATAATCGGTCATAAAAGACACTGGGCGCTTCATCACTTTTCTGAATCACCTCAACTGTCTTCGACATGTTAATAGCTTTCTTCCCTCCGGCTTTCATGCCAGCAATTATAGCATCTCTATAGGCTTTAAGTTGAGCCATATCTGCGCCATTTACATTCCAGTCAGGATCGGTGTTAGGGTAATGTGTTGCGGCCCATGCTGCCGGATTGGCTTGATTTAAAGCACGGGCTCTCTCCTCTAGCGCCTTAATGGCCGCTTGGTTAATCCTTGTCCTTTCCTCATTATTGAACAATGTCATTAATAACTGCTGGCAATCAGCCCATGTCGGGTTATGTGTCTGAACTATCGAGGTGAACAGATCGGTCATAGCTTGTGGTTTCTCAGTGTACGAGGAATTGTGGGTCTTCCAATTCAAGAGATCGGTAGTCGTGAACGGGACATATACGAAGACTGGGTCAGCATGTGCCATTTGACCTGCGGCATCGATATAGGCTGACCCAGGATTCAGACGAAGAGGCATCTGATAATGTTTTAATTGTTGGGTACCGGTCAGTTGTCGGGTTAGTATGGGGCTACGTGGAGGGGCGTCAGTTAAAGGTTCCGGTCGAGAGGTAATAGGGCATGAGGATGTGGGAACTTGATTTTGGGAAAAGTTAGTGAATAGTATACTCCGAGCCGAGCTAGAAGAAGCTTGACCGGAAGTTTGAAGTGGCGCCAAATCAGGATATTCAGATCTAATGGGGGTTGGTCCTGGTTCCGGAAGGGGAGTTTTAATACGAGGGGGGGTGGATTCTGTACTGGAGGAGGAAGCGGAAGTGGATGGGGGCAATAGGGGAAGGGGTGCAGAGCTTCCTGCATTCGCGTCACTTCCTCTTAAAGGAAAGTAAGGGGGCGGCAAAGGGATCTCGGACTCAGGGGGCGTGTCCAAAATGGGCCTAACACCAGTCCTAGTGGACAAACAAGTCCTGGCCACCATGAGGCGACATTGCTCCTCGTGGCATATCCGGATCCATTTTGGCGAGTCGTTTACGGCCTGCCCCCAACAATCAATGTATGGAAACTGTCCGTAAAGTTCAGGCCTACCTGATACAGCCACGTGTACACGCTGTACCAGGGTTGGATCCAAACTGCCACGCGGCGGCCATGCCGCAACCAAAATAGGCCACTCCCTAGTGCACAAAGTGACCAAACGTACAGGAGACATTTTAACCCCAAAATCACATGTTTTGAATCCCTTTTTAAAATTCTTTACCATACAACCTAAGGGATCCGAAATCGTTGACTCTGACGCGCCCATACTTATCAATGGAACGTCGTTGACAACTAATACTATGCACGCGTTCTTATTCAACAGTCACACCCGTTTCCTCTGGCAACAGCACCACGTGGTACAGTTACCGAGTGAAACGTACACAATAATCACTCAGGGAATTCCCGTACACACACAGCTGTTACACCAGTCACTAAATAATCAATATTATGCCCTTTGGCGAAACTATACAGTCACCCACGCTATAATTCTCTATATATGAATTACCCGTCTATAACACACCCCAGTAACATCGTCTTTTACTAGTATCGGTTACAGTACGGTTAGCATAGGTCAAAGCACAATTTAAGGTCACAATACAATTATTAGTGGTTACGGTGTTAAACATGCAATAGACGACAATGATTAGTACTTATATACAGTGTCAGTAAATATACAGGGTTATGGTACCGTGCACTATGATACAGCAACACACTATTAACACTCTCGCTAGACGGCTGAGCTCGCGCTATCTAACAAGATATACACTTTACTAACAATCTTTAACACATTTACAATCCCAACTAAACTATTGGCCAGTACCTTGAATGGACTACCTAAAACTATATACACCCGTTTTGGTTAGCCACACTGCCCAAACACCACATATAGCGAACTAGAGGGCGAAATTTACAAAATTGCCCTTCTAGTCTATTTACTCTATCAAAAGTCTAGTGGGTTCCAAATTTACACGCCTTCCCACTTAGCCAAGATAGGTTGAGAGCTAGCGAACCGAATTTACACAGGCGCCGCTTAGTCTCCCGGTCCCTCCGACCTAGCGAACGTAATATACACCCTAGAACGCTAGTCTAGACAAGACACCGGTGTCCGGCTAGGGCTATTTACACAGGACCCCGCCTGACTAACCAGATCAAACGGTCTTACTAAAGAGCGTTCGATCGAGCGGTGCGCCTTCGCTCCTTCCCTCCGACAGAGGGGGCAGATTCCATACACAGATTTAAACCCCTTTTGGGCCTACCGCACAATCGGTATACCCCTAGTGGGTCTGCCGTCTAAAACAGCAGTTGTCTTACCTCCTCGTTCCTGAACCTGAGTTCACACTCATCGACGGGGACACCCCAGCACTTCTTACGTAGAGGCCGATGATCTCCTGGACAACAGACCAGTGGCGCCGAGACGAAGGGAGGTCCACGCAGAAGTTCAGGGGTGCAGCCGTAGAGAACGTGGGCAAAGATAGACCGTCTCACGCCTCTGCCTCTCAGCTACCGTTGAACGATGAGCTTCCCGGCCAATGCACCAAATGATACCGGAGAAACTGACGGAAGCAAAGCACAGAGGGATGGACACAGGTTTCTTCAGGAAGGAAGAGATTCTTTATTGGATCACCGATCGGGACTCAGAGGGACTAATGTCACCAAAAATACAGCAAGTTCTGAGCCCTGAACAATAGTGCAGGCTCCCTATATAGGCACATAACTCCTCCCATATTAAGCTCCACCCGCACATTCTCTTGACCAATCATTACAAATAAGAATTAACTTCCTGCTTGACCGCATGGCTTGTCCAGCACAATGGAGGAGGGGAATACTACATCCTGTATTCTTGCACATGCTCCTTACACTACTGATCGTATCTTGCCTCGTGCAACCAACTGATCGATACGTCAGCATATGCACGTACACATGCCACGTGGTAATCTCGGCCTACTAAATTTATTTTTACCGAGATTCCACCACACTGGTACTAAAACCACTATATGCACTGTAGTGGTAATGGTGATTGGAGTGTTCCTTTAAATTCACTTGCACTGTGTTAAACACAAGGCATTTTCCCTGTGCAAGATTTCTTCAGCAGAGCTTCTGGCATGGGCTAGCCTGTAAGGGCATCAAACGGACACTTTGGGATACATGAATGTAATTTGTGATGAAATAACATCTCCTCATGTCTGCTTCTCCACCTAACTATTACACTGTTTTCCCTTTCAATGCCTGGGCTGGACTTTATTATTATTATTATGATATTTATAGAGCACCGTCAAATTCCGCAGTGCTTTACAATGGGTGGACGAACAGACATGTAGTTGTAACCAGACAAGTTGGACACACAGGAACAGAGGGGTTGAGGGCCCTGCTCAATGAGCTTACATGCTAGAGGGAGTGTGGACTTTAGTGCTAGTCCAGCCATAAATAGTGGAGTCAAATTTCAGTGGTAGAGTACAGTCAAGAATTGGAGAATTGGATAGGTAGTGGGCAATATATAGATATATGAGTCTCTTGCATACATCCCATATGCTATGTTTAAAGAACTCGAAACGTGCAGCCACCTTTATTTAGTCTGAAATCAGATGAACTGTGACTTCCTCTAACTCTCTACATTCTTCCCTGTTGTGATAAGAAATGGTTTGTTGTGCATGACGTCTGTGATGTTTTGGAATGTCTAATTAATTAACGTTCTAAAATAAAAGTGCAATATAATCACCGTATCTCTTGCACTCAAGGTGACATTTAACATTGTCTGACATTATTTTCAATATAATGTTAGTCTGATTTAATTAAGCACAAATGCTATTTTGGAAACAGTGTCGTCTGAGTGTTTTTATAGCTCGTTATAAATAAATCTGTCTATTGGCCTGCATGTTATTATACAAATAACGAGAACAAATGAAAGAGCATATTGCATCATCATTCATTTTAACAGCATCCGACAGGATTTTATTCTCTGCTGGCTGAGAGCCACTAGCTGATTCCTGTCTGCTTCGCTCTCAGAGGACTCTTGGGTCACCTCGCTTTCCGTAGTCGCTTTGCTGACGTGTGTGTGAGTGGAGGAAGCTGAAGTTACTCCAACACCAGCTATGTCTGCAGACTGGGAAGAAATCAGACGGCTGGCAGCTGACTTCCAGCGAGCCCAGCTCAGTGACACAGTGCAGAGGTAGGTTGCCCGGCCATATTGCCGGATTCCAGCTGGCAGTAATGAGTGTGTGTCTGGACTGGCAGCATTATAAGCTGGGCCTTGACAGATGGCACATACAAACATGCACTCCCTCAACAGCCACATAATGCTGCCTTGATTTACATTGAAAATAATGATAAAAAAAAAAAAAACCAACAACAGTTTAACTCCATCTTCTATCTATACATCTGCTGCCAGACATAGGGATTGCAGTTATCATCAGTCTTTCCCTGCCTCTATAAATAATTTATCCTTATAGCTGCTCTGTCCCCCCCCCCCTCCACCCCCCTTTGGAAAATAGTATTTCATAAAGATAAAAATCTTTATGAAATACATTACCTGTGCTGGAATATCACTGAAATTTAAATGCAGCCAGAATATATTATAAAACAAAGAAGGGATTACTTTGTATAAATTTTTCCTATGCTTAAAAGGTTACTCCAGTCATAATGACCACTTCTGCTTTTTGAAGTGGTCATGGTGGTTGGAGCCAGTATGTGCATCATGCTGTGGACAGATGTAGTCAGATTCCTCCCTTGCAGGCAGAGGGCCTGGAAGGGGAAGTTTGATCTGCCTACTCTTGCTCCCTCCCTCCTTGTAGTTGCTTCCTGCTCTCTCCACCTAACTCTGTTATAAATATAGTTTTTGTTTAAATGAATATATATTTTTAAATTGTGTCCAGCCATGCCTGTCCATACGTCTTTTTCCCCTCATTGTCGCAGATCGTGCGCATGTGCTCCAGGACGGTGAGAATGGTCCATTCAATGCTTCTGTTTGAAAAGCATTTGATTGGCCGCACAATGGAGCCTGTGACGTCGGGACATGGCATGGATAGAAGCGCCTGGAACCTCGTCTGGCATTGGATTGCAGGTAAGTTTTAACGTTAAAGGACCACTATAGGCACCTAGATGACTTCAGCTCAATGAAGTGGTCTGGGTACCATGTCCCCCTAGTTTTAACCCTGCAGCTAAAAACATAGAAGTTTCAGAGAAACAGCTATGTTTACACTGCAGGGTTAATCCAGCCTCTAGTGGCTGTCTTCTGCGATTTACATGGAGTAAATCACACTTATTTCACGCTGGATGTCCTCATGGAGTCCAGCGTAAAATAAGATCCCCACAGGAAAGCATTGAGTAATGCTTTCCTATAGGCAGGTTTGAATGCGCGCCCGCCTCCAATCGTGAGCTGATGTTGGCGGGGGAGCCGAGAGCTGGATTAAGGTAAGTAGCTGAAGGGGTTTTAACCCCCTTAAGCGATGAGGGAGGGGGGCACTCCAAGAGCCTATAGTGCCCGGAAAACTTGTTTTCCTGGCACTAAAGGATCCCTTTAAATCATGCGTTTTATGGGGGCGGAGGGGAACTTAGTGAGCGATGCCCAATAGGGCATTTCTCATTGAATCTAATGTTATTCAATGAGGGCTGGAGTAATCCCTTAACAAAATAGCAAGTATTGTGCTCTCACGGGATCCCATGGAAAAAGATGATGGCGACCACGAGGGACAGCTTCAGGTAAACGGCAAGTGTTGATATCACCATTGTGTGTCTTGCAGAATAAGCAAAGACCAGAAGATGACGGAGCCGCTTTAAAGGGTAACAATAGTGCTAGGAAAACAAAGTTGTTGTTTTTTTTCCTAGCACTATATTAACCTACAATGCCCCCCTCCCTTGCACTGGAAGAGTTAAAAATGAGTATGTCACCTATCACAGTAATCGTTCCCTCACAATCCTCCACTTACTAGAGCACTGGAAAGTGATGAAGCGATTGGTGTGGAGAAGCAAAGCCAATGGAGCTGCAAACCACAGGCTCCCAGACAAAGCTGCTTTATCTTCCGCCATGGCTGTCCTCCTATCAGCTTATATGTGGGGAGGAGACGTCATTGGGTTCAGTAACAGCATTCCGATCTTGCTGCAGAGCTTCCCTCCAAGACCTACTACTCACCCCCGCCTTCTAAGAAACAAACTTCTTTTCCCTTCAGATTAGAGGCAGTGCTTGACAAATGGGATTTCTAATTTGGAGGGAAAAAACAGTCAGGCAAACCCCCAAACTTTTTTAAGAACCTCCCCCAATTACCATTAGTATTATAAATATCCGCTTACCACAAACATGGTGAGAGGACTGAGGCTCGGGAGGCTCTGTTTCTTCTTGGTTCCGGACAGGGGTAAGGATGCCGGACGGCTGAATCACCTCTGTTTTTTATGTGGCTACTGTCTATACTGCGCCAGGTGCCGGGCAAACGAGGGGCGCAGGCGTGCGCCAGCTGGAAAGCCCTGGCGGTGGAACGCATGTACAGGTTACGTTGCGTTCCACCGGGAATTCACGGCGCGCACTGCCCATGCGCAATGCGATTCAAATTCAGGCGCCAAAATCTGAAAACATATATATTTTTTTTTCTTCCCATTCGTTCAGTTTTGATTTCCAGGACTTAAAGAGGTAATTTCACCAGCAGCAACTGTTTGCCAGATCCACTCAGACTTTGTTGCAAGTGTATTCTCACCTGCCCTCCAACACACTTTGAGACCATTTAAGGTAAGACCTTTTTATGCTTTTATCTTAAATGGCTCTAGCCCGAATTGAAGGAGATTGAAAACATTTTTCCTCTCCTCTCTCCTCAGTATGTCTAATCCTGAGACTACAGATAGAACGTCAGAGAGGGGTAAATGTTGTGCAAAAACCAAACATCTAAGTTGCACTGCATGTTCTCAACCCATGCCTGATGGATATAAAAGGAAACTTTGTCCTATATGTTCCAAAGAGGCTTCTGAGGAAGCAAAGAAATTAGAAATGTCCACATTCCTAAACTGGCTCCAACAAAGTATGCAACAAACTTTTGTGGAAATGCAGACGGCAGCCATTCAGTCTGCTCAGGCCTCTGTTTCTCAGGATGTGTCTGTAGTAAAACTAAGAAAAGGCCTAGATCCTGGGAATTATCAGACAAAAGTTCGGAGTCTTGTATGTCTGATTCTAAAGATGAGAATTCTAGTGATTCATCTGATGAGGAATTTGCTTTTCCAGAGGAATCCATTGGAAAATTAGTAAAAGAAGTTCAGTACCTGATGGAGGATGTGAAAATAGGGAAGAAATCAAAAGTTTTCCCATTTCATCCACAGCTAAAGGATTGGATTTTAAGAGAATGGAAATTCCCAGGGCGAAAGCCGTTTTTGTCAAAACACTTTAAAAACCAATTTTTTTCCATTGATATGGATCCTGAGTGCCTGCTGGATTCGGTTCCATCAGTAGACGTTCCTATTGCTCAGCTGGGAAAGAAAACCACTTTACTTATAGGTGATTCAAGTGGCTTAAAAGATGCTATGGAGAAACGTATGGATTCTTTTTTAAATAAAATGTTTGTCTCCTCAGCTGCCCAAGCAAAAGCTCTTATTTCAGGTACTTCTGTGGCTAAGGCACAGAAACATTGGCTAGAAGAATTAGAGAAGATTTATGCAGGTGAATCTAAGAAAGACCCTGTAAAGCTGTTGAAAAATATCAAGATGTCATCAGATTTTTTTTTTAGTAGATTCCTTTTCAGAAAGTCTGAAGTTATCAGCTACGGCGCTGGGTATAGCTACAGTGCATAGGAGAGCACTATGGCTGAGAAACTGGTCAGCTGACTCAGCATCCAAAAATTCTTTATGTGACCTTCCATTTGAACCTGGTAGACTTTTTGGATATAAGCTGGATTATCTGTTAAAGCAGATGATGGAAGGTAGGAAGGCCTTGCCTGAAGTCTACAGGAAACAGGTTTGGAATAAGAAAAAAATTTGGAGCCCAGCCCTCCTACAGAGGTTCCTTTCGTAAGCACGCTTACAGGGGTCAACAAAGGAAAGTATTTGATTACAGGAGAAAAGAGACGTTCACTGACAAGAGGAATAGAATGTTATGACGCCATCCCGGTTGGAGGAAGATTGACACATTTCCTAGATTGCTGGCAAAAGACTACTTCGGATCACTGGGTTCTCTCTGTGATAAAGAACGGTTATCATCTGGATCTATCAGAGATACCAAAAAGAACATTTTTATGCTCTACGGCCCATTCACCTGCGACAGAGAAAGCATTGATGCAAGAAGTATCAAAGCTCCTTCAAAAGAAGGTCATAGAAGGAGTGCCCCTAATAGAAAGATTCCTGAGCACTTATTCAAGACTTTCTTTTTTTTTGGTTCCAAAACCAAACAAATTGTTCAGACCCATTCTAGATCTCAAGTCCATCAACAATTTTATTCTAAAAAAGAAGTTCCATATGGAATCAATACAGTCTGCAACGCATCTTATTCAACCAGGAAATTGGTTTGTTTCTCTGGATCTAAAAGATGCCTATTTACACGTACCCATCGCAGAATCCAGCAAAAGATTCCTAAGATTTGCATTATTCCTCCAAAATATAACTTTGCATTACCAATTCCAAGCCCTTCCCTTTAGTCTGTCGTCTGCCCCAAGGGTGTTCACAAAACTGCTTGTAGTCGTCTCAGCATATCTAAGATGATTAGGCATCTATGTCATCCCTTATTTAGATGACTGGCTGTGGATTGTGGAGTCGAAAGAACAACTGTGTTTAGAGCTTATGACGTCCTTGGACTCTCTAAAAAATCATGGTTGGTTGATAAATTTCGAAAAGTCGGAATTAGTCCCAGTCCAAAGGATTCAGTTCCTGGGTCTGATTTATAGACTCCATCTCCATGAGGATTTTCCCTCCAGAAGAAAAGAGAAAATTACTCAAACTATTCAGAAGCTCAGAGAGAAAGGTTCGTTCTCCATCAGAGAAGCAATGAGCTTGCTGGGTCTTTTTACAGCTGCTATCCCGGCAGTCTGTTGGGCAAAGGCCAGAATGAGACCCCTTCAAAGAAACATTTTAAAGGTATGGACCAAACATACAGACAGCCTGGACGGTCTTATGAAATTCAACAGTCAGACGTTGTTTCAATGGTGGACCTCATCTCGATTCCTGCGTTCAGGACTTTCTTTCCAAAAGAAGTCTTTCAGAATTATAACTACAGACGCCTCAGCTGTCGGCTGGGGCGCTAATGTAGGAGACCTAAAGAAGCAAGGGCTCTGGCAAGTAAAAGATTTAAGAACTTCTTCGAACTACAAAGAACTAAATGCGGTTTGGCTGGCTCTCCTGGCTTTTCAGTACCAGATCCAGAATCAACATGTTCAGAACCGGTCAGACAATTCTATGACCGTTGCATATGTGAACAAACAAGGCGGAGCAAGATCGCCGAATTTAGAAAGTCTACGTTCCAAAATCATGCTATGGTCAGAAGTACACCTTCTCTCAATTTCAGCAGTTCACATAATGGGAAAATTCAACGTGTTGGCAGATTCTTTAAGTCGTCAACAATTAAAACAAACAGATTGGTCCCTTTTTGTCAAGGTTTTCAATCAAATTACAAGGATTTTCGTTTGTCCAAAAATAGACCTTATGGCTTCAAGAGCAAACAGAAAAACAAGACGATTTGCGTCCTTGAGCCCTGCAGACATACCAGAGGTCATAGATTCCCTTTCGATACCCTGGAAGTTCAACCTAGCATATGTGTTTCCTCCAGTGGCTCTTATTCCCAGAGTTCTACAAAAGATTAAGTTGGATAGGGTGAAAATGAGCATAATTCTCCCAAGAAGAAGTTGGTTCTCAATTCTCCTAAATATACCAGGTTCCACTTTTTGGAAACTTCCCCTGTCAGTAGAAATACTGGAACACTCCATGGTACCTCTTCCGACTCTACAGAGATTCAAATTGGCTTGGTGTCTGAATACCAGATTTTAAAGAATAAAGGTTTATCTCCAGAAGTTATTAAGATTTTAATGGCTGCTAACAAAGAATCTACATCTAAAATTTATTCCAGGATATGGAAGAAATTTTGTACCTGGTGTTTTAGGATAAAAGTTAATTCAATTACCGCTTCCATTCAAAACATCCTTAATTTCCTTCAAATGGGCTTTGCGAAAGGTTTAAAACCGGCCTCACTCAAGGTGCAAGTCTCAGCTATCAGTTTCTTTTCTTTCAGATGTTTTGCATCGAATATTCTGATCTCCAGATTTTTCAAGGCACTGTCCCGTTTGGTTCCCAACATTAGGGAAACTTGTCCGCCTTGGGATCTTAATTAAGTTCTACCAGCTCTATGTGAGCCTCCCTTTGAACCTCTAGAGAAATCGTCTCTGAAGGTTTTATCTTTCCTAACTTTGTTTTTGGTGGCCATTAACTCAGCTAAAAGATTGGGTGAACTTTTCATCAAGACAAGGTGGTCTTAAAGCTGGATCCTTCTTTTATGCCTAAGGTTTTGTCTTCATCTAACATCAATCAAGAATTAGTGTTGCCTACTTTTTGCCGAAATCCTTCCAATGCTTTGGAAAAGAAATGTCACTGTCTTGACGTTAAAGGACCACTATAGTGCCAGGACAACATACTCGTTTTCATGGCACTATATTCCCCTTAGGGTGCCCACACCCTAAGGGTCCCCCTCCCGCCCGGCTCTGGGGAAAGGAAAGGGGGTTAAAACTTACCTTTTTCCAGCGCCGGGCGGGGAGCTCTCAGCCTCCGATCTTCCTCCTCTCCTCCCATTCGTCTGAATGCGCACGCGCGGCAAGAGCTGCGCGCGCATTCAGCCGGTCTCATAGGAAAGCATTTACAATGCTTTCCTATGGACGCTTGCGTGTTCTCACTGTGATTTTCGCAGTGAGCATCACGCAAGCGCCTCTAGCGGCTGTCAATGAGACAACCACTAGAGGATTCGAGGGCTGGATTAACCCATTTATAAACATAGCAGTTTCTATGAAACTGCTATGTTTATAAAAAAAATGGGTTAATCCTAGAGAGACCTGGCACCCAGACCACTTCATTAACCTGAAGTGGTCTGGGTGCCTAGAGTGGTCCTTTAAGAGATGTCTGCTTCATTATCTGGAATGTACGAAGACATTTAGGAAATCTAGCAGTCTTTTCGTTTTATTTCACGGTTCTAGAACAGGTTTGATGGCTTCAAAAGGCTCTCTGACCAGATGGCTAAAAGATTGCATTCATGTGGCGTACTCCACCAGCAACGTTACTGTACCTTTCCCCGTCAAAGCTCATTCTACCAGAGCTATATCCACATTCTGGGCCCTTCGGGCATCGGCTACACCTTCTCAAATTTGTTCTGCGGCCACACGGTCATCTCTTCATGCATTTTCTAAACATTACAGGTTAGACATGCTGGCCTCAGAAGACGCATCTTTTGGGCGCAAGCAGTGGTGAAGTGAGACCCGCCCTGAGGGGATTGCTTTGTTTATCCCATTTGTCAAGCACTGCCTCTTATGTGAAGGGAAAAGCAAAATTTTTTACTTACAGTAAATTTCTTTTTCCTGGAAGATTAGAGGCAGTGCTCACTTCCCCCCCCCCTCCCCTCCCCCTTTTTCTAATAAACTTAAATTTTGCAGTTACCCGGCTTTTGTACTTTCTGGGGCTGTTTGGGGTAAGCGGATATATATTATACTAGTGGTAATTTACAGTAAGTAAAAATTTTCGCTTTCTCACTGGTGGCCGGTAAATTAAATAAATCTGTTATATTAAATTTGTTAACATCTGTCATCGAATGAGATCCAAGGTGGAGATGTGAGATGCCTTCAATCACACATTTTATAAACTTGGTACACAATCACTGACACAGGGCAGACCTGTAAAATTTGTAAGAAAGGATTTACCAGTATCCTTTATTAGCTTTCATTATGTTTGTAGCATGAATGTACACAAACCCTAGACAAATTGCATGTTTTATGCCTGCTTAAAGGAACACTATAGCGTTAGAAATACAAACCTATTTTCCTTACCCCACTTCCTCTGACACCCTCCCCATAGGAAAGCATTGAATCAAATCCCCAAATTGCCTCTAGTGGTTGTCTGGAAGACAGCCACTAGAGGCTGTCTTTGTGCTGGAATGTAAACATTGCAGTTTCTTTAAAACTGCAAATTATGTTGCATTGCAGGAATAAGGGTAATAGGGACACTGAACCCAGACAACTTCAATGAGATAAAGTGATCTGGGTGCCTATAAGTGTCCCTTTACAGACACATGCAATTGTACAAGTTCTGAATCAAAACAAGATCTACAATTTGAGCTATATAACTGTCAACCATAATTTACCTCTTCCATATTAAGTGTACCCACACCTATTATATATTTTGTTTAGGTGAAATAGGGCTTTTATTTCACATTAAACTTTACATATTAAACATAATTTAATATGAATAAAATCTAAAAAGGTGTAAGAAATTAACTTTAAATGTCATAATATTGTTGGCTTTTACTGCAAATATATATATTATACATTATACTGTGGTGTCCCACTAATACAGTGATGCTCCTCCATGTACAGGTTTCATGGTGTTTTGGAAAGTTACAGGGTTATTTATAGGACTTGCTTATATCAGTTTTTATATATATATATATGTTCTATTCTCCCTCGCTGATGATTAGAGAATAATTATTCATGTTACTACAACCTTGCCACAAGTATAACCTTGCCATTGATTACAACTATAAATATATTTCTCTTCATTAAAAAGAAATGTTATGGAATATCTGTTCTTTTTAGCTAAAGCAGACTTTGGGCTTGGATCGCCTCTGAAATGAGTATGGTTTTCACTGGAAATAATACTGCCAATTCAAAATTCGTTATGTAACAAATCCGAAGGTTTATGAACTATCGCTTTAATTTACTTAAAGCGACACCCCCCCCCTTGAAAAATTAGCATTTCATAAAGATCGAATCTTATAATAATAATAATAATAATAATAATTTTGACAGTGTTGCAATTTCACGCAAAGGAAAGGTTCAGGTAAGTAAGTAGAACTCTGTTATATTTCCCCCGGACACCCAACAGCAGCGTCACCGTCGGCAGTCTTTGCAAGTTCTGCAAAGTCCCCAGGTCTTGACAGTGCAGTTTTAATATTCTTATTAAAATCAGACATCAATGCTACCCTTTGGTGCCTTTGCCAGTCTGCTTTTTTTTTTTACTATATCATCTTTTATTAAACTGACAGTCTATGTACTGAAACCATTACATCATTGTCTAGAATCCCTTGGCGCAGTCTGTGTTTTCAGTATAAAACCATTGTTAAACAGTTTAACACTGGAGGAAGGTCTGCTGTAGGCTGGTTCCTATTGAAGGCATAAAACAAGAAAAAAAAAATGATTTGCGCCAAGTGGAAGTGGCATATGAAATAATAAGAACAGGATATAGTGCTTACTGTGTGTGTGTGTGTGTGTGTGTGTGTGTGTGTGTCTCTATATATAGATTTATACTTGGTGCAAATCAGTTTTTTTCTTGTTTTCTACCTATTGTTTTCCGTTGGATTGTTAGGGTACAATTAACAGAATCTGCTGCCATTTGAATGAGCGCTGTACCTCACCCTCTCTTTGTCACATAGAAGGTATAGCTAAGGTGGAGATTATGCTCTACCTTAGCTATACTATTTTATACCAGCTGTGGGCCATTATGATAAGCAGAAACCTGACTTTCAGCCGGTTATTGACATCTAATACTGTTTGCACTAATGCAGGAGCATTTACCTGAGTAGGACAGAAGGGATGGGCCACATGTTCCCATGAACTCTGATTCATAGTTAAACCATCTATAGTTCTAAATGTGTTGTTTAGGGCCCCGACCCCTTGTAAACTTGCCTTATTTCCAGCACTGCACGTGTCTCTTTGCAGTTGGCCCCGCCTCTGCTCTGCCTCCTTTGCCGATATTCTAAAGTTTGATGCTATTGCACATGCGTGGCAAAATGCCCCCCTGTTTAAATCAGCATCCTCGTAAAGATGCATTGAATCAGTTCCTCTCTGTAAGAAAACGTTCAGCTTCACCATGCTAAGCATGGAAACTGAATGTCTGGGCTGCACATTTTCTCTGAAAAGGCATTGTTTATATTAAAAAGCCTACAGGGACTGGCTGTAGACACCAGTACAACTACATTAAGCTGTAGTTGTTCTGGTGAATATATTGTCCCTTAATCTAAATTAAGTTGTTTTGGTGCCAGGAGGCTTCTGGACGCACTATTACTTTCAGGGTAAGTTGCCTCCAGTGACTATCTGAACTACTTCTAGTTCTTCTTCTTTTATATTTATATAAGCTTGACAAAAAATAACAAATTTTAATACAATAGGATGTCTGTGACGAAGTGCCCTTCGCCACTTGTGCCCGTCACAATGTCTATAGAAGTTTTGTAATTCTTCATAAATTTAAAGCAATATATATTTAAGGTGAAGATATGAATATTTCTTCAAATAATGTAAGTTTTAATTTCATTCCATCTAATTGCAATTTTGAAATATTACAGTAATAATGTAGTGACAAAAAAAGAATAACAGAAAATATGAATAACAAAATGAAAATCAGGGTGAAAAGGGAATGCAAATATATTATATAATTCTGCTTTAAGTTCTGCTTCGTGCCTGGAGTGACCCCTTTAAGTCTTGTGTATATTTTCTGTATATAGGTTATCTGAGCGTAACTGTATCGAGATTGTTTCCAAGTTAATTGCTGAGAAACAGCTGGATGTTGTTCATACACTTGATGGAAAAGAATATGTCACACCAACACAGATTACCAAGGAAATAAGAGATGAACTTCAGGTTCGAGGGGGTGAGTTTAATTTATAAGTAATAAGCGTTTAAGGTAAATTGAAATTTTTCTGTTGCAAATTATTTCTATAGATCATTGACATAATTTTTTTTTTTTTTCCCGATAAAATTTCTATCTTATTATAAACAGGTCGAGTGAACATTGTTGAATTACAGCAGGTAAGCCTCTGTGAAATATATTTGAAAAACTTGTTAAATAGAAGTTTATTCAGTATATTTTATTTTGCTATTCAACAGGGAATACATTTTAAATAGAATCAGTCATGGGAAAATAGTTTTGTTTAAACTGAACTGATTCATGCAGTGCAACATTTTGACAAAATCATCAGATTTTTTTTTTTTTTATATTTTTGATTTTGTTTTTGTATGTGAACATTTTATATACGAGATAGAACAGGAGTGTGAGCTATTAAATGCAAAATGTACCCAGTTAACAAAAATTTGCGTTAGAATCAGTTGTATTTTAAAACTTAACCATTAATTAATATATTCGATTAGATGTGTATCAATACCTTCACCATAATAAAATCTACAACTATGGTTGTTTAGATATAGAGTAGCAACTAGGATCGTTAGCAGAGTAAATTATAGTGTTAACCCTTCAATTTTAAGTGCTTCTGATAGAGTTCATGCAGTATAGGGTAGCAACCAGAATCACTATTGGTAATTTAACTTTTTTTTTTAACCCTTCTGTTGCTACTTAGAGAATAAAGTGTGGTAGAAATAAATTTGCAGCCAAGGATCGCTGTTTTGATAGAGGAAAAGTTAATCCTAAATTAGCTGTCTCTTAGATTGTAAGTAGCAAGCACAATCATAATTTAGAAAAAAACTTTTTTGCTACAAATTTTTAAAGCCGATAGAGCACCAGTACCGGTAACTGGAGCTGCTATACTGTTCTAAGAGGTTCGTTGTGTAGCTGTCTAGCCTCTTAACTGAACTAAATAAAAGATTTCGCTAATGACTTAGCTTGCAATAAGGTTTCAGAGGTAATGGAAGTTTTAGTGTTTTTGCCAATGATATACGGCAGGTTGCTTCCACACTGTCATTCTCTTAAGTGCTCTCTGTGCATAACACTCAGAACAACAGGCGGATGCGTATTAGGGACTTTAACTTGTGACTTGGTGAATGGTGTCGGGAGCAAGGATTTGGCTTTATTTCTCATGGTAGCTCTGTTTGGAATGGAAATAAACTGTCCAAAAACATGGTTTGCATCTTTCTCAAAAGGGAACAAATGTTCTCAGTGAGCAGTTCAGAGGTTTTGCTAATATGTATTTAAACTAGGAGGGTGGGGCGAAAGGGTGATACAACCTCAATCCAATTGCCCCCCAAAACAAGGACAGAAGGTGCCTGTAGCAAGTGTGTTAAAAATGATAAGCTTAGAGTCATGTCTACAAATGCTCGCAGTTTAGGGAATAAGATCCATGAACTTGTGGCAATAATGGCAAATGATAATGTAGATTTAATCGCTGTTACTGAGACATGGTATAATGAGAAAAATGACTGGGACATAGCAATACAAGGGTACTCTTTATATATAGAAAAGACAGGAAAGGCGAGAAAGGGGGAGGGGTGGCCCTGTATGTGAAGGATAGCATAACATCTAGCCTAATAAAAGTTAGTGAGGCGAACATAGAGTCTGTTTGGGTTACGTTAGAATTTGGTAATCACACAGTAACTCGTGTAGGTGTGATTTATAGGCCCCAAGACAAATAGAAGAGTTAGATAATCTACTAGTTGAGGAAATAGCTAAAATGACAATAAAGGGGGACGTTACCATCATGGGTGACTTTAATCTTCCTGATGTGAATTGGGAAACCAAAATAGCTACTTGTGCTAGGAGCACACATATTCTAAACTTACTGGGATTGTCTCTAAAACAAGTCGTTGAGCAGCCAACTCGTAAGAAGGCTATACTAGATTTAGTGTTAACAAATGTAGATTTGGTATCAGATATTACTGTAGGTGAAAGTTTAGGATCCAGTGATCATCAGTCAGTGTGGTTTAATATAAGAACAGTGACTGAGTCACACCACACAAAAACAAAAGTTTTAGACTTTATAAAAACAGACTTTTCTAAAATTAGAATATGTGTAAAGGAGTCATCAGACTGGAGCAATTAAAATGGAGTCCAAGAGAAATGGGATTATTTAAAAGTTGCACTGCTGAAGACAACAGAAAATTGCATTAGGCTTGTCAGTAAAAGCAAAAAATTCAAGAAACCACTGTAGTACTCTGCAGATATGGCCAAAATAGTAAAAAAAAAAAAGTTAGCATTTAGTAATTATAAAAAAAACCCAGAGTGAGGAAAACAGAATGATCTATAAGATTAGGCAGAAAGAGGCTAAGCAAGTTATACGAGCTTCCAAAACACACACAGAAGAGAAAATAGCACAGTCAGTAAAAAAAAATGGGACAAAACATTTTTTTAGATACATAAATGAGAAAAGGAATGTAAAACAAGGATTAGTTAGATTAAAAACAAAAGAAGGAAGGTATGTAGAAGAGGATAAAGGTCTAGCTGACTGCTTCAATTAATATTTTTGTTCAGTATTTACAGATGAAAACGAAGGAAAGGGGCCTCAGTTAAGAAAAAGGACAAATGAGTCATTTGTTACATGTGAGTTTACAGAGTAAGAGGTTCTATTTCAACTGTCAAAAGTAAAGACACATAAGACAATGGGACCTGATGGAATACACCCAAAGTTATTAAAAGAGCTTAGTGGTGTACTAGCAAAACCATTAACAGATTTATTTAACCAATCATTGTTAACAGGAGTAGTCCCAGAAGATTGGAAGTTAGCGAATGTTGTGCCCATTCACAAGAAAGGTAGTAAGGATTAGTCGGGCAATTATAGGCCAGTAAGCCTTACTTCAGTAGTGGGGAAAGTAATGGAAACCATGTTAAAGGATCGGATTGTTGAACATCTAAAAACACATGGATTTCAAGATCAGAGACAACATGGGTTTACTTCAGGGAGATCATGCCAAACTAATCTTATAGATTTTTTTTGATTGGGTAAATATAATATTAGATCAGGTTGGTGCAGTACACATTGCTTACCTAGATTTCAGTAAGGCTTTTGACACTGTTGCACATAGAAGGCTTATCAATAAACTGCAATTTTTAAGTTTGGATTCCAATATTGTTGAATGGGTAAGGCAGTGGCTGAGTGACAGGTAACAGAGGGTTGTAGTCAGTGGAGTATATTCGAAGCATGGGCTTGTCACCAGTGGGGTACCTCAGGGATCTGTACTTGGACCCATTCTCTTTAATGTTTTTATTAGTGATATTGCAGAAGGTCTTGATGGTAAGGTATGTCTTTTTGCTGATGATACTAAGATATGTAACAGGGTTGATGTTCCAGGAGGGATAAGGCAAATTGCAAATGATTTAGGTGAACTAGAAAAATGGTCAGAATTGTGGCAACTAACATTTAATGTGGATAAGTGCAAGATAATGCATCTTGGACATAAAAACCCAAGGGCAGAGTACAGAATATTTGATAGGGTCCTAACCTCAACATCTGAGGAAAGCGATTTAGGGATTATTATTTCTGATGACTTAAAGGTAGGCAGGCAATGTAATAGAGCAGCAGAGAATGCTTGGTTGTATAGGGAGAGGTATTAGCAGTAGAAAGCGGGAAGTGCTCATGCCATTGTACAGAACACTGGTGAGACCTCACTTGGAGTATTGTACGCAGTACTGGAGACCATAGCTCCAGAAGGATATTCATACTTTAGAGAGAGAGTTCAGAGAAGGGCTACTAAACTTGTTCATGGATTGCAGGATAAAACTTACAAGGAAAGGTTAAAGGATCTTAACATGTATAGCTTGGAGGAAAGACGAGACAGGGGGATATGATAGAAACATTTAAATACATAAAGGGAATCAACACAGTAAAGGAGGAGACTATATTTAAAAGAAGGAAAAACTACCACAAGAGGGCATAGTCTTAAATTAGAGGGGCAAATGTTTAAAAATAATATCCGTAAGTATTACTTTACTGAGAGGGTAGTGGATGCGTGGAATAGGCATTTAGCTGAAGTGGTAGAGGTTAGCACAGTAAAGGAGTTTAAGCATGCGTGGGATATGCATAAGGCTATCCTAACTAAGATAAGGCCAGGGACTAATGAAAGTATTTAAACAAATTGGGCAGATTAGATGGGCCCAATGGTTCTTATCTGCCATCACATTCTATGTTTCTATGTCTGATTACTATTGAGGTATATTTCACAGAGCCTCTGATGCACGTTTCGCCTCAGGCTCATCAAAGAGAAAGTGGACATTTGGAAATGGTCCGGAATACAGGGAGTGCAGAATTATTAGGCAAATTAGTATTTTGACCACATCATCCTCTTTATGCATGTTGTCTTACTCCAAGCTGTATAGGCTCGAAAGCCTACTACCAATTAAGCATATTAGGTGATGTGCATCTCTGTAATGAGAAGGGGTGTGGTCTAATGACATCAACACCCTATATCAGGTGTGCATAATTATTAGGCAACTTCCTTTCCTTTGGCAAAATGGGTCAAAAGAAGGACTTGACAGGCTCAGAAAAGTCAAAAATAGTGAGATATCTTGCAGAGGGATGCAGCACTCTTAAAATTGCAAAGCTTCTGAAGCGTGATCATCGAACAATCAAGCGTTTCATTCAAAATAGTCAACAGGGTCGCAAGAAGCGTGTGGAAAAACCAAGGCGCAAAATAACTGCCCATGAACCGAGAAAAGTCAAGCGTGCAGCTGCCACGATGCCACTTGCCACCAGTTTGGCCATATTTCAGAGCTGCAACATCACTGGAGTGCCCAAAAGCACAAGGTGTGCAATACTCAGAGACATGGCCAAGGTAAGAAAGGCTGAAAGACGACCACCACTGAACAAGACACACAAGCTGAAACGTCAAGACTGGGCCAAGAAATATCTCAAGACTGATTTTTCTAAGGTTTTATGGACTGATGAAATGAGAGTGAGTCTTGATGGGCCAGATGGATGGGCCCGTGGCTGGATTGGTAAAGGGCAGAGAGCTCCAGTCCGACTCAGACGCCAGCAAGGTGGAGGTGGAGTACTGGTTTGGGCTGGTATCATCAAAGATGAGCTTGTGGGGCCTTTTCGGGTTGAGGATGGAGTCAAGCTCAACTCCCAGTCCTACTGCCAGTTCCTGAAAGACACCTTCTTCAAGCAGTGGTACAGGAAGAAGTCTGCATCCTACAAGAAAAACATGATTTTCATGCAGGACAATGCTCCATCACACGCGTCCAAGTACTCCACAGCGTGGCTGGCAAGAAAGGGTATAAAAGAAGAAAATCTAATGACATGGCCTCCTTGTTCACCTGATCTGAACCCCATTGAGAACCTGTGGTCCATCATCAAATGTGAGATTTACAAGGAGGGAAAACAGTACACCTCTCTGAACAGTGTCTGGGAGGCTGTGGTTGCTGCTGCACGCAATGTTGATGGTGAACAGATCAAAACACTGACAGAATCCATGGATGGCAGGCTTTTGAGTGTCCTTGCAAAGAAAGGTGGCTATATTGGTCACTGATTTGTTTTTGTTTTGTTTTTGAATGTCAGAAATGTATATTTGTGAATGTTGAGATGTTATATTGGTTTCACTGGTAATAATAAATAATTGAAATGGGTATATATTTGTTTTTTGTTAAGTTGCCTAATAATTATGCACAGTAATAGTCACCTGCACACACAGATATCCCCCTAACATAGCTATGACTAAAAACAAACTAAAAACTACTTCCAAAAATATTCAGCTTTGATATTAATGAGTTTTTTGGGTTCATTGAGAACATGGTTGTTGTTCAATAATAAAATTAATCCTCAAAAATACAACTTGCCTAATAATTCTGCACTCCCTGTAGATAGGGGTAAGTATTATCCCATTACTTCATTCAAATTTCATTCAGGCCAATGAAAAGCATTGTTGAAATAAATGGGTTAGTGTGTTGAAGTTGGATAGGATTAACCCTTTCATCGTGAAGCATATTTTATCTTTGTGACTATATTTATCATGTCCACAACACTTAATTATTTAAGGATCACAAGATGTTTATGACTCCTAATTATTCTAGAAATATTTTGTTCGCAATTTTGCCGAGTGTTACTCAAAGTATTGTTTCTGATATGAAACAGTTGATCAAACTGTATATTATGTTCATTGGATTATATATATAATTATTGATTCGTTGTTCGTTCGTAAATACTTTCTAGAAATTAGGAGAACTCAAACTCTTTGAAGGACCTTTTAAATTACAACTATAGTCAATTATCCTAGGTTGGTAGATATCCCCCATAAATGAGTTTGAATACTTTAAATCAATTAGTTTAATATATTAAAACAAAACTTAAATCAAACTCCACGTAATATCAAAAAAGTAGTTAGAGTAGTTTGCAATTCCCTCAATTACTTGCCACGGAATATATAATGTCATAAATAAAAGGTCCCTTCAAGTCATTGGGAAAGGAGGACACCAAATCCTTCTCAGAGGCAAACATACAAGCCAGTCTATTTCCCTCAGTCAGTCTCCTTAACTGCAAAGGACTGACAAAAAAACATTAGATGTTGACGAAAAGAATATGCATATATGTCAGAACGAACATATAATGAACCAAAAACTACAATGGAGCACATAGACTAACACGAACAATATGATCTACCCAATTAGGTCATCAAATTCATAAATTTAAAATTTCTTTACAAAAAATAACTGTTTCCAATTAAACTCATATGTTCCCACACTATGAGGGACAAACAGTAGTCTGTAACTCCTCATCGTTTCAATCCTGTTGATTAGATTTATATTATCAGATTTAAGTGACTTTCATTCTTGAATCTACTCAGGTAGTCAACAATCACCGAATTGAATCTATTCCAAATATTTACTTCTATTAAATCAAAGCAAAATTATTCACAGAATCCTTCAAAAAGTTCGAGTTCTCCTAATTTCTAGAAAGTATTTACTAGCGAACAATGAATCAATATATATATATATATATATATATATATATATATATATATATATATATATATATATATATAAATAAATGAACATAATATACAGCTTGATCAACTGTTAATATCAGAAACATTTGAGTAACACTCGGCAAAATTAATTGCTAACAAAATATTTCTAGAATAAGTAGGAGTCATAAACATCTCGTGATCCTTAAATTATGAAGTGTTGTGGACATGATAAATATAGTATAGTCCCAAAGATAAAATACGAAAGGGTTAATCCTATCCAACTTCAGCACAATAACCCATTTATATCAACAATGCTTTTCATTGGCCCATATGAAATTTGAATTGACCAATGGGATAATACCCCTATTTATACTGGACCATTTGCAAATGTCCGGTTTCTGTGGCTTTTTAAATTGCAATTCGTGTCTGTGTATAAATAGTCAATGAGTTTGTTAGCTGTCATGTGGATGCACTGAGCAGACTAGATACTGAGCCCTGGGAAGCATAAAAGAACTGTCAAATTACCTGCGTAACAAGGTAATGGAACTTTATAAAGATGCAAAAGGATATAAAAAGATATCCAAAGTCTTGAAAATGCAATTCAGTACAGTTTAATCACTTATTAAGAAGTGGAAAATTCATGGATCTCTTGATACCAAGCTAAAGTCAGGTAAACCAAGAAAGACTTCAGCTACAACTACCAGAAGTATTGTTCAGGATACAAAAAAAAAAAAAAACCCGCAGGTAACCTCAGGAGAAATACAAGCTGCTCTGGAAAAAGATTTCAAGAAGCACAATACGATGATACTTGAACAAAATTGAGCTGCATTCCTGAGTTGCCAAAAAGAAGCCTTTACTGTGCCAATGCAACAAAAAAGCCCGGTTACAATATGCCCGACAACGCCTTGGCACACCTCAGAGCTTCTGGCACACTGTAATTTGGAGTGTCGAAACCAAAATAGAGCTATATGGTCAAAGCAATAATCGCTATGTTTGGAGAGGTGTCAACAAGGCCTATAGTGAAAAGAATGCCATATCCACTGTGAAGCATGGTGGTGGCTCTATGATATTTGGGGTGTGTGAGCTCTAAAGGCATGGGGAATCTTGTGAAAATTGATGGCAAGATGAATGCAGCATTTTGTTAGAACAATTTTCATTCTTATGCACGTGTGATGCTCTTGGACTTTTCAGCATGACAATGACCCTAAGCACATGGCCAAGTTAACCCTCTAGTGGTTACAGCAGAAAAAGGTGAAGGTTTTCGAGTGGCCATCACAGTCTCCTGACCTTAATATCATCGAGACACTGGGGAGATCTCAAACATGCGCTTCATGCAAGACAACCAAAGACTTTGCTCGGAAGCATTTTGCCAAGTTGAGTGGGCAGCTATACCACCTGCAAGAATTAGGGGCCTCATAGACAACTCTTACAAAAAAACTGCACAATGTCATTGATGCTAAAGGGGGCACTACACAGTATTAAGAACTAAGGGTATGAACATGGGTCATTTTATTTTTTTCTTTGTTGCCATGTTTTGTTTTATGATTGTGCCATTCTGTTATAACTTACAGTTAAATATAAATCCCATAAGAAATAAAAGAAATATAGTTTGCCTGCTACATATTACCAATTCTTCAAGTGTGTGTGTGTGTGTGTGTGTGTGTGTGTGTGTGTGTACATATATTCATACATACATACAATTTTATGTCCTTAGTAGACCCAGGTGTTTGGTTCCTTTTTAGATTACTAAAGTTGACTGGGTTTTCTGATGACAATCAAAGTATTTTTGGCAGCAAAACATACATTTTCAAATGTGGTTCCAGCAATACCTTGTGGAATGTAGTATACCATATGTTGCTGTGGGTGCACACAGTTGCACAGACATTCCACAGCTCTAAGCAAAAAATTAATTTTGGCCACTTTTTAGCAAATTTTAGCATGTGTAACAAATAGATTTGGAGCCCGTTTTTTTATATTTGTATTCCTCTCATTGTCTTGGATACTAGGTTCACTTTCCCCTTATTTTAAAGTACATTACACAATTTATTAATATTGTTGGCATTTATAAAGCACCAACATATTGTGCCGCGCTGTACAATTAGGGGAGAACGAACACAGACCGATCCAAAAGGTGAAGAGATGAGATCTAGCCCTTGAAGCTCATTTATCCAAAGTGCTCAGATAAATCAGTTAAATAATCCATGATCTTACAATCTTAAAAATATAATGGGGGTTTGAGACCAGTGGGGGGTGGGGATAGGAAGGTTGGACGTGATGACTAGAAGAAGTTAACAGCGCAGAGGTAATATAGTAAGATCTCAAACAGCTGGATGAGCATACTATAAATTTAGTAGGTGGATGGGAAATGCTTAGAAAAAACTGACAGATTCAGTATTGCTTGGATCTGGGTGTGTGAAGTGAGACCTAAGGAGTAGGCATGGAGCTAAGGAATCTGTGAAAAATGCACACGTGAAACAAGCCCTCACTGTCAAAATTGCCCATGTATGTCAACAAATATATTTTTTTTTCCACAAAAGATTAGTTTATTTTCTAAAATAATATTTTTAAGATTTATGTGCCTATGTTTTTTAGTATGTATATGACCGTTTATATTGCTATGTTCCCCATTTCCTTACATCTAGGTGGTCAATGTTGATCTAACTCATATTGAAAGCAGAGCTAATGAACTTGTCAAACTAGACAAAAGTATCCAGCTGGTGCTGGGACAGCTTGTGGAAGAGTAAGTAAACACAAAATGCACGTGTTTTTATAACCATGCTTCTTGTACAAAGGTGAAAACATATTTAAAAATATATAGATTGATCAGCCACAACATTAAAACCACTGACAGGTGTAGTGAATAAATGATTATATCGTTACAATGGCACCGGTCAAGAAGTGGGATATATTGGGTTTCAAGTGAACAGTCTGTTCTTGAATATCATGTGTTGGAAGCAGGAAAAATGGGCAAGCAAAAAGTTCTGAGTGACTTTGAAAAGGGCTAAATAGTTGTTTACCTGGGGAAGAGATGGCGGCAGGATGTGAAGAAGGCAGGCCGGTGGAGGCAGTGTTGTGCTCTGGGCAATGTTCTGCTGGGAATCCTTGGCTTCTGGCATTCATGTGGATGTTACTTTGACACTTACCACCTACCTATAAATTGCATACACTTAATCATGGTAATGATGTTACCTGATGGCTGTAGCCTCTTTCAGCAGGATTATGCCTCCTGCGACACTGAAAAATGTGTTCAGGAATGGTTTGAGGAACATGACGTAGTTCAAGCTGTTCACTTGGTCTCCAAGCATCTATGGGATTGCTGCTAATGTCTTGGTGCCAGATACCACAGGACACACTCAGAGGTCTTGTGGAGTCCATGCCGCTACGCATCAGAGCGGTTTGGCAGCACAAGGGGGACCTCCACAATATTAAGTGGGTGGTTTTACTGTAGTGGCTGTTTGTCAAATGAATGCAGTGATTGTGCCCCAGCATTGGTATTGCTTCGCTCTGTAGTGCCATCTTGCTTCTCTTGATGGAAATGAATAGATGCGGTGCGTTAATCCGGCAAAATCCAAATAAGTTGTCAAACTGTGCTAAAATAGTTTAACACTGTAGTAGCACCAGGGCACTCCTGGCTCCATAATAGTTACGGTGGGCTTTAATGGTGATTGTGTTTGGAGTGCTCCTTAAATTTAGATGAAATAAGACTTCACAGTAAACTTAAATTTAATTATCAAAACTGCCTGTCTGGCAATTTTGTTTTCAACCAATGCACAGGGAGATATATTTTACATCACACAGAGTTCACTGGCATTTGGGACATAACCTACTAAACTAATTGCATCCATCATTTGAACCTCCACCTCCCTCCCCCTCTCCCACCCCCCCATGTCCGTACTTCTTCTGAAGTTGACAGCACAGATAATCTTTCATCAGAGTGCAATAATAATTAAGCACTAATTAAATAAATACTTAAAAAATTTTCAGCAGTTGGAAATTAATGATTTTTTTAAAAACTGGTATAGTACTTCTTGTGTCATGTAAGTCACATGATATACTTGTGTAGTGAAAGGCAAAAAAATAAATAAATACACTGCTGTAATGTTAGCGAGAAAACCAATACTGCAGATAGGAAAGGACAAGTGGATGGAGGGTATTAATTTTATGTAATGGGACACTCCTGGTACCATAACAATTTAATCAGATCCTTTATTGGTCCAAGACTTCAGCCAGGTGCTGCTGGCAGACTGAGGTGTCTGTGGCATCTACTCTGAGACTTTCTGATTGAAGCCTCTGACCAAGAAAGAAAGCACCAGGCCAGTGTTCATTTCGTCGGCTAACAATTTTCATCAGATTTGGTCGACTAAAACCAGACTAAAACTAAAACAATTCAGATTACTAAAATAAAAATAAAACTTTAATGGCATTGAGACACATGGGGTGCTGCGTGCATGAGACATGTGAGGAAGATAAGATGCATTGAGGAGCTCGGGGAGAAGGAGACACACAGAGAGACAAAAGTAAGAGACAGGGGCTTGGGGGAGATACCCAGAGGGGCTGGGGAAGGAATAAAAGAGAGAGACTTTAACTAAACCCATTAGATTTTAGTTGTTTAGTTTTAGTTGACTATAACTAGACTAAAACTAAAGCAATTCAGATGTCTAAAATACAACTAAAACGGCTTTTTAGTCAAAAGACTATGACAAAAACGAATTGAAATTTGCCATCAAAATTAACACTGCACCTGGCAAACACATCCAATGCCATCTTTCAAAGTGTTGAGTTAAACCATTTATTTAAGGTTTAACCACTTAAGATCTGATGACGCCTGGGACCTCTTTACACAATAACAAAACAAAAGCAAATTCAAAGAAACATACACTTAACCCCGACTGCAGTTGGTGACTTTATCTCTCTGTGAAGCTTGGGGAGCACTCTGACATCTACACTAAAATATTCTATAAGGAAAAACACGTGCTCAGGCATTTCTGCAGTAATGCTGTGTGTGCATGCACTGTGGTTCTAACATTGCTGGTGGTTAGACAAATATACATGATGTGCCCATCAGGACGTGTACATATTTAAAAATAAATAAAAAAACAATTGTTCTGCTAGTTGTATCGACATTGACTTGGCTGTTCAAGTTAGCAAAAATCTCACAAGTGGCAATTCCTCTTTAAAAATGCTGAAAGAATTCTAATGCAGTTCCTGTAAAAAGACAGACTGTTTGCTCACGTTATATATGTTTCTATGACTGTTTTGTATTTAAAAATGATTGGATTTTTGTAGATTGGTTTCCCATCTGAATTGCTGCAATATAATATATCTCCGCAGGATTGATTTGTACTGTAGAAGTTATAATGAGCAGGCTGCAGTGCTTCTTCCTTCTTCGTTTTGGCCTGTACCACTGCTGATAGAATGTGATTTTTGCAGAAGTGCTGCCAGACAGGCACTAAACATTATTTAGTGGTGTTTTGGTAAACAGCTGTCAGACAAGAGTTTTCAGTCTCAACTAAATGCCGCAGCTCATAGGATTTCAATCCCTAACCTCAATTCACCCCCCAAAGAGGAGCCTTTAAAAGAATATTGTAATTGTAAACTGCGTTTGATCACAGAGTATTAGATCTACTGATCCTTGTTATATAATATCAATGAACTTAAGTTCTCTGTATTGCAAGATTACTTTATAAAAATAAATATCATCATGTGCGTTTAGTTATCGCTGACCTAGAGAGCCATGATAATATAGTCATGCCCTTACTATCAATAGAAATTAATATGTTGTCTCAACTGACCACAAACACAAGTAAAGAAATCTATATCCACCTACTGGTTCTGCAGTGTAATCAGACAACATTAAACTCAAGTAAGTTGCATATACAGAGTGAGATACATTTATTAGGATCATCAGTGGATTACCCTCTCGATGTTCTGTAATATCATCTTCAACAACCCATAACTATCTGTATCCACCCAAAAGCTGCTGACATTCATATGAGATTTAGGCGAACAAATGCTCAAAACTGTTTTTTTTTTGTTTTGTTTTTGTCTTTCTTGTGTTTTATCTTTGTGTTGATTAGATCTCCCCCAGTTTTAAGACTATGATTTAGAATTTTTAAAAACATAGCCAGATATCTTGTCTGTGAACTACATTATTGTTGCATTTTTATTTTCATTTTTTTTTAGCTAAACGAACCTGTAGTTTTGTGGTCCCCTGTATTGGTACTAATGATAAACAAGTTAGATAAGATTTGTCAAAACCTCAGGAAATCCTGGACGAATACATTGTTTGTTATAACAATATGTTAATTTTAACTCCATAAAATATTACTCAGGCTGCACGTATCTTGTTTTGTTGTGGTTAATTTAGCCTATGGGTTAAACCTGTTGGTATCCTATTTATATTGTGATAATTTTCTTGTAATGCCATCAATCTGCATATTCTATTTTACAATAATAATGTTTTGTTACAACTTACAGCTGAGCAAGGGATGACTCTTCTCAGGGATAATACGTGCCCCAATAACGCACCTTATGTCGTTTGAATTAACAGAGATGTGAGCCCCATGTCTTTTGTGTCTTCTTTCTTACTGTTTTCATATGTGGTTGCTTCCTTTTTGAAATAAACATTCTCCTAATGCTAAACCCAAAAAAATGGTAATCAGAATTTTTGTTAGCTCATATATTTTTAGAAAAAATGAATGCTATAAACACAACTTAAAATAAAAAAAAGTTCCTGCTTTTGATGCACATTTTCACACATCACATTGTCAGCTTTTATTTCTGCCCTCATTAGGAAATCACTTTGAGTCTCCCATTTTGCTACGTGGAGTCTAAACTATTTCACACAATGAAGCAGAAACCTACAAAATACATTAAAACCTAGAAACCTACAAAATAAAGCTCGTACTGACTTCACCATAGCTGTGGAAGTACTCTTCCGCTGCTGTGCGTCTCCTTGCAACTTTTGACAGCGTTGCGTACCCTTACATTTCCGCCTCAGGACATTTTTGTGCATGCTGAAGTCTGCTTTAGCTGCATTATTTATATGACAAATATGTCATGCTTGTTTTTTTTTTTTTTATTTATTAGCAACTACCTGGATCAAATAGCAGAAGAAGTCAATGACAAACTGCAGGAAGCTGGCCAAGTGACCATATCAGAACTGTGCAAAGCATATGACCTACCAGGGGACTTCCTGACAGAGGTGATCATTCTTCTAAGACTGTATTTCAATTAAAAAAATATATTCTTTTTTTTCTTTCTTTTTTTTCTTATGGTTTTACTCCCTGTATTATAGTAAATATTAGCTGTCATACAATTTGCAGATAACATTGCAGTTTTAATCAAGGATTTGCGTCACACTACATACATATCTATCAGCTGCTGGTTTTGATTGGATTTATTTATTACACAACATAAGTTTAGAGGGTTACTCTAACTAGAATAGTAGGACTTTAATACAACGCTGTTTTTGGTCGGAGTAACTCTTCCTATCCTGCCACAACTCCTCCAAAAACATGCAAAATAAAGAAAAAATAGCTAAAACTCTCCTCTGTTCCAGCAGCCCAAACCTTCTCTACCGATGTCCTCCCCTGGAGAAGGAGCAATGTCAAGGAGGAAGGGCAAAGGGTGAGGATGTGGGTGGCATGCGGGGGGCAGTGCCGCCATTGGTTCTGTCACCAGCATGCTGTGCGTGTTAACGACAGACATTTAATTTATACAGAACTGACACCTAGCCTGAAACTGGGCTAGCTAATGACGCCCCTATTACACTGCTGGAGGTAGAAGTGAAGTGATCAAGGTGTTTGGACTAACCCTTTAACAGCAACAAAAATATACGTGTTTTATCTGGTTTTCATTAATCTGCCTTCTCTGCCCTACCTTCCCTATTCTGAAATACATCCTGCTTACTGGTTATTGTACCCGCATGACTGTTGCATAAAACCCACTCCTTTTGTCACTCTTTCCTAACCTGCTGTACTGTATTTCTCCAGTAATAGACTTGTCACCGGAAAGGTGATGGTAAAGATTTCTCAGTGTTGCAGCTGAACCAATAGCTTTGTTCTTAAAGGGACACTGACACTGCAGGTCCCCTCTCCCTCCCACCCCCCATCCCATGTTGCTGAAGGGATGAAAACCCCTTCAGTGATTTACCTGAGATCCCCTCCGATGTCCCTCGGCGATGGTTTCGGGTCCGCCCACGCTCCTCCCGCGCAGTAGACCTCTCCATAGAAAAGCATTGAAAATGCTTTCAATGCTTTCCTATGGGGAATTGAGTACACAGCGTGAGGACATCCAGCGACGCTCTAGCACAGTAGAACGCTGTGCAGTTTTGGGCACCTGTTCTAAAGAACGATATTATGGCCCTAGAAAAAGTGCAGAGGCGGGCTACAAAATTAATAAAAGGAATGGAACGTATCAGCTATGAAGAAAGGTTAACAAATTTAAACCTATTTAGTTTAGAAAAACGTCGCCTGAGAGGGGATATGATAACATTATACAAATATATTCAGGGCCAATACAAACCATTGTGTGGAAATCTATTCACAAACTGGACTTTACATAGGACACGAGGCCATGCGTTTAGACTGAAAGATAGAAGATTTCGTCTAAGGCAAAGGAAAGGTTTTTTTTTTACTGTAAGAACAATCAGGATGGAATTCTCTGCCTGAAGAAGTGGTTTTATCAGAGTCCATACAGATGTTCAAACAGCTACTAGATGCATACTTGCAAAAACAGAATATTCAAGGATATAATCTTTCAATGTAGGGTAATAACTGCTTGATCCAAGGATAAATTCATATTTGAATTCCCAACAATATGCACTTTATTGAATAACACCAGACCGTTTGGAGTGATAGATAGATAGATGTATAGTTATCTAGTAACTGTCACATTATAATCATTGCAAAGAAACCTAAACAGCTAGTACCTGATCGAACTCATGCAGTGCTAAGTTAAACATCATAATGCATTACAAATGGTACCACTCTCAGCTAGGTGTGCTCATTAACCTACGTTAGGGAGGAAACCTTAAATATGTAATGTGATAATCAAAGGAACACACACATGTGTATTCCTAAATCTATAGGGTCATAGTCACCGTTTAGATGACGGGTCCTCATGGGTGATTTTACTTATCATTTCTAAAACAGCAGTGTTTTACATTGCAGGGTTAAACGGTACAGGGACACTGTACCAAGACCACTTCAAAGAGATGAATTGATCTGGGTGCCTACAATGTCCTTTTAAAGCGAACCTGTCATGGACAGTTCATCACCTTGTAGGTTTCTATTTATCATCCAGAACTTTGTTTTTTTTAAAGCTTTCCTGATCAATTGGCAGAACTTCTCAGCTTAGAATTCATGTTACGTAAACTAATAAATACACAATGAACTCTTTGTACTGCAGTATTTGGTAGACCACACCTAGCAATGACTACTCATTTGCCGCATTTCTGTAAATACTTTGAGACTAATACATGGATGCAGTTCAGAAAGACACAGACGGGCAAACACGGCTCCCAGAAATCACAAGGAGTAACAGCTGCATATCAGAACTCCCTGTCCAAGAGCAGCTTCCCAGCCTAAATTTATTTCAGAGTGTAGCTACAGACAAGGCTTGTTATTTTGCTACATCTAAGCTGCACTACTCTAGCATTTCTCAAAATACCACACGTGGATACTGGAAGGTCATCTGGAACATACAGTATTTATATTGCGTAGAACATCATACATTATGTATAATACATATAATACATAAAATCAATATAGTTATGTTGTTTACAAATGATCCTATATGTATTAAAACTGTGCTTCCAGTTTTTACCATTTTAGTATTCTATCTCAGCACATTAGATTTAAAATCAAACATCCCCGAGAGTGTAAAGTACTGACTGCTTTAACCCCTTAAGTACACATGACATGTGTGACATGTCATGATTCCCTTTCATTCCAGAAGTTTGGTCCTTAAGGGGTTAAATTGAAGATATTTGCAAATTCGCTTTTCATGCCGTCATTGAAATTCTTATTCTACACTTTAACTTGTCAGTTTCAGGGAAAGCAAATGGAGAAACTTTTTATTTTTTTACATTACTTTACAATTTAACGGAAGATAATGAACGTTAATCATAACTTGTTTTGTGATCTCCTTTTATTTTTTTTTCTTTGTTATTTTTTGTTACCATAAGTTAAAATGCCATAAACTGTATTTCAAAACCTATACTACTTATGCTTCATGTAATGAATATTCACCCACAGTCCTTGACCGCACGTCTTGGAAAGATTATTCAAGGGAAGATTGATCAAAGCAACAATAGGAGTGTGATTTATACAGAGACCTTCGTGGCTCGTCACCGCGCACGTATCCGTGGTCTTTTCACCGCAATTACAAAGTAAGATGCATTTATTTTAATTTTTTTTATATATATACTTCTTAAAAATGGTACACGTTAATCAGATACATGATGCTTTGTTTTCACTGTTCTTGTAAAGCAACCTTTAGAGTTTTTATTCGCTAAACCATGGATTATTGCACAATTTAAGCCAGAACATGCACATCCGGGATGGGGAGACCTGATCTCAGCTCAGCCGAGTTGTTGTTTGTGTTAAAACTTTTTTTCACATTAATTTTGCAATAAATAGCTATATAGACAAATGCAGATTATTTGCGATTAATGACATTTATAATGTTTTAATAAAGTCTTAAATCTACATGCTCACAAACCTAATTTGAAGACACAACAACTTGAATACTGTTGTAGATTTTTCTGTTGTGCTTTCAACATATGCAGTTCAATTTTGTAAAATTATTTCATAAAATCTTTGCAAAAATAGGAAATATTGAGGGGGGAGCGACAACTGCTTGATTTTTAAATATTATTGACTGCTCCGCATTTAATTTTAAATGTATTTTATAAAATTAAGATTACTATATAAAATGTGCATTCTACTTACTCATGTTAAACCTTTAGTTTTATCTTCTTGTTTAGTAATGTTTCAAATGTTTAATATAAGGTGTTCAGATGTCTAAAAAAGCATTATTAACTGAATATTTGCATACCAGTAATGAAGGAATGTTGTCTTCCCTTGTTATTGTAGACCAACACCAGTCATCAATTTGATTTCCCAGTACGGCTTTCAGGAACATCTGCTTTATTGTAAGACTTTACAATGTTAACACAGCATGTTTTTAAAGCACCTCTGTAACTCTTAATTTTCTCTGCGTAAATCCATTTAAAACGTTATTCCCAACAGTGCAATATTATTTTCATCTAAGTAAGCTATAGTAAATTTAACTGTAATTACTTTTTGAAGATCCTGTTGTTTGATGTGTTATGGTGAAGGTGGCCAGCTATGAATTCTATCATGATATGCAAAGGGGCTCGCCAAGCACCATAACTTCAGCATTTCATTGTTGTTGTTATTATGGTACTGTTAATCTTTGAGTACTGTCTCCCCGTTATCTGTTGGATTGATTGAGAGCAATTTGACATAAGTAGGGACTCTCACAGCATCCAGAGTCCAGCCCACCTGTCGCTGCTCACATAATTTCAGAAGATTCACTTCTGCTTAACAGTCCCAAGCCATGCGATATAGAGTGACAATGGTGGGCTCAGATCGTTGTATAAAATTATAACAAAAGATAATGACTGCTAAGTTTCATGCTGCTGAATAAAATCCAATGATATTAAGCATTGGCAGAAAGCTCCCCGCTGATCTAAAGAATGCTTCACCGTCAGCCTCTCTGATGTTTTATCCTATCCCATAAGCTCCCTGTTATCAAGGGTTTATGTGATATTAAGGTGTTCGCAGCATCCATTCCAATGATACAGAATTAATACACAGCCCTCAAAGAAATTTGTAAGCGTTTTTATTTATTATTTTTCTTTACATCCACAATACTGACCTGTCAGTGTTTGACCCCCTGCTACCATCCTATTAACAGCCCCATATGCAGTTTTGTGAATTGGATTGCACACAATGTTCCCCGAGCCCCCATATACACCCATGAAACACAAATATTTAGACAATCGTCAATCAGAAAGAAAAGGGACATACTTATAGCTGCAGAGATCTTTTTAGTTAGTGGCAATTGTACAAGAACCACAAGTCAGTTGACTTTCTAGTGCTATAACCTGTGCATGAGCTTGGGTTGTTCTGGTGCTTGTTGTTTGCCTTTAATTCACAAGCTTTCACGAACGTTCCACAATGTATTGCTGGGCTCTTTAATGCAACCTGCTTCAGAAATGAAAAGGTTACATTTAGACATCTTTTAAAATGCTTACTGCTTTCATCCTTTCTTGCAGCCCTGTTGGAGGAGCTTGTTAACTGTGGACGTTTAAAGGGCACTGTGGTCGGCGGGAGGCAGGATAAGGCTGTGTTTATTCCTGACATCTATGCCAGAACGCAGAGCAATTGGATAGACGCTTTCTTCAAGCAAAACGGTTACCTAGGTAACACATTTTTCTCAGCATTTAGGAAACAAGGAGGTCTTTGTGAATCTTGTTTTCAGCCACATTAAGGTGATTTAAAGAATGCCGTTTCTGGCATGAAAAGGCAGCATTTCTTTTTAAATTTATTTCTTCAAGACATTGAATTTTGCTTTTTGTTCATTTTGTATCTAATTTACCATTTTTGGGATATTTTTGAGCATCTATTTTTGTATTTTTTTTTTATTCAAAGAAGTGAAAGTTGTATTTGCAGGGAATCAAAAATTCAACTGTTTGCAACTCCAACTCAAGAGTAACACACACATTTTATAATGGCTGTATTTTTTTGGGGGGTCTGGATTTTGTTTAGAAATACAATTTATTCTGCATATGTTTTGGATGATATTTAATCAAATTGACTCAAAAAAAGAAAGTTCCACCTTTGTATGTGGCTTATAACAATGTCCGTATTTATGCTTTCACCAGTAACAATCTGATTCTGTATTTTCTTTTTCTCATTAACTTCTTAGTGACCAGACCGTTAAGGACCAGGACTGTTTTTACATTTCTGCGGTGTTTGTGTTTAGCTGTAATTTTCTTCTTACTCATTTACTGTACCCACACATATACCGTTCTTCTTGCCATTTAATAGTCTTTCTAAAGATATTATTTTCATCATATCGTATAATTTACTATAAAAAATTATAAAATACGATGAACATTTTTTAATAACACACTTTTTCTAATTTTGACCCCCAAAATCTGTTGCGCATCTACAACTGCCAAAAAACACCCATACTAAATAGTTTCTACATTATGTCCTGAGTTTAGAAATACCCAATGTTAACACGTTCTTAGCTTCTTTTTTTTTTTTTTTGTGTGCAAGTTATAGGGCAAATAGTATAAGTAGCAATTTGCTATTTCAAACGTTTCTTTTCAAAATTAACACAAGTTACATTGTAACACTATCTGTCAGGAATCCCTAAATAACCCTTCACATGTATATGTTTTTTAAAAGAAGACAACCTAAGGTTTTAAACTTGGGGTATTTTGGCTCTTTTCATGCAACCATTTTACCTATGCCAAATTAAAAAAAAAAAAAAATTGGTGATTTTTGACACACAGCAATTTAAGAATACATACACTGAGAACTTTAAGGGTTACTGCCAAAGAACACCCCAATATGTGTTCAGCAACATCTTCTGAGTACAGTGATACCACTAATGTATAGGTGTGTTGGGTTCTGTTGGGGCTAAAATACCTTATTTGGAGGGTGCGCATTCCAGTTTTCCAACTTGGAATTTTCACATTTGGTCATCATGCACCCATGTCCTATTTGGGACATTTATTAAGCCAGCAATGTAATTTACCCCATCAAACCATATGTATTTTAAAAGTAGACACCCTAGGGTATTTCAAATGGTGGTATTTTAACGCTTTCCATGCACTAATTCTACCACCAGTCTTCGTCAAACTTTTGGGTAGTCATTTTATTTTTTTCTCACATTGTACTTTAGGCATGGATTATCATCTCCTGTTATTTGTTACTGACAAAGAACACCCCAATATGGGTTCAGCAACATCTCCTGAGTACAATGATACCATAGGTTTGTTGGGTTGTTTGGGGGGTGCAATGCCAAACTTGCCATGAACGTGCATATATTTGAAAAGTTGACACCCCAAGGTATATTGTATATGGAGTGTTTTGATGCAACCGTTTTAGCCCAAAAAATTGGAGAAAACGTGTGGTGGTAATTTTTCAATTTTCATTAGTACACACACATTTGTGTATGATTTAGGGGAGCCTTTTGTTGGTTATTGCAAGAAAATACTCCAGGTTCTTTTCTGCAAGGCCTCCTGAGTCCACTCATGCCCCCATGCATATGTTGAACTTGATCATAAAAATAGTCTGGCGCAGTAAAAGTAAAAAAAAAAAAAAAACTAACTCCGGAACTGTAAATGTAACCCAAAAAAATGAACGGCAAATGTTAAAAAAAAAAAATAATTAAAAATGGTCCAGTGTGTGGTATCGCTTGAAGCAGTCCCCAGTGCAGAGTCCCGGCTGTCCAGGGCAATCAGGACAGTAAAAGACGGTGTCCTTTCTCTGCCTCTTTTTTAGAGGGTTCTGCTTTGCCGCAGTAGGGAGGAATTTAAAAATAAAGTGGATAGCCCCAACTTTGCTCTCTTCTATCACCGCCCGGTGAGCAGGTTCATCTTGGTACAAAATGATCTGGAGCTTTGCTTTTTTTGAACAACAAAAAAGCGTTTAGGGTTGCAATCTGCATTAAGTAAATTGCAACCTTTTTGTACCAGGCCCTTGTCTTATATAATTTAAGTAGGGTTGCAGCAGCTGATGTACCAGATCAACCCCACCCATATGCCGGTTATAGGCCTTGATGCACACCGGCTTCTTTTTGCTCTCAACTCTGGCGCGTATAGAGACCTCCACAGTCCTCTTAGTGTGGATGGTGGTAAGAAGGTACACATCCTTCTTGTCTCTGTACTTAAATACCAACAGCTCCTCTTGGTGCAGAGCTGAGGTCTCCCCCCTTCGTAGCCGGCTGCGTGCAAATTGTCCTGGGAAACCTGCGCGGTTCTTTCTGATTGTACCGCAAGCTACTGTATCAAAACAATACAGTAGCTTGAACAATGGGACACTTGTATAAAAATTGTCTATATACAAGTGGCACTTGTTCCCATATTGCCACTGGTTCCTATATGTTCTGGGCAACCTGGAGGGTCAAGATGGCTACCCAGTCTCGCTCTCACAGAGCTTATACACCTGTACACCATACCTAGAGCATTTGGAAGGAATATACTGCTTGAATCCCATCCTTCCCTTATACTTCATCAGGGATTCATCCATGCATATATTCCTTCCAGGTGTATAAGCCTCTGCAAACCTGGCAGCAGAGTGGGTAATCAGGGGGTAGATAAACAACCTCTGTGACATGATCACAATCACTTTATTTAGTGATCTGTCACAAAAAAATGCACAGACTGCAAAATAAGTGCAGCAGTGCAAGAGCCACTGATCTATACAGTGATCACTGACATGATAGGGGTTAATAGCTCTGAAAAGAGCCTTTGGGTCTCACCATTTTGCAAATCCCTACCTAAAACTACCTAAATCTCTCTACCTAAACACAGATCTCTCTCTCACTAAAACACAAGTGAAGAGAAGGGAGATCTACACTGATCAGAGTCAATATTTACTAATATTTTCCTGATCAGACAAATGGGGATCATATTAATAATAAATATTATTATAGGGGCAAGCTCTGATTGGATGACCCTAGCCTGCCTTCTTCTATGATGAGGCAGGCTAGGGACACCCCCAGAAGCCACATGATGCACTGCCTTTAGAAAGGCAGCGCCATATTGGAAGCCACATGGCTCAGGCGGGGCTGCAGGGGTTCTGGGGGGGGGAGATTAATTCATTTATTTTTTTTATTGATTTTATTTAAGTCTTCACTGAGTGCCTCGATCTCTCCTGGGGAGCGATAACTCAGCAGCCAGGCAGTCAGAAGAGGTATTGCAGGATGCCTCAACATCGAGGCATCGCGGCAATACCCTTAGAGCAGCTGGAAGCAATCACGATCGCTCCCATTGCTCCTATTTGAAGCGGTCGTACTAGGTACGTCCGCAGTCCTTAAGGACCATTTTTTGTCGGACCTACCTAGTACGTCCGCGGTCCTTAAGGGGGTTAAACTAAAATGCACTTTGTATATATTTCTTCTTTTGTGATGGTATAAAATTTGGTTAATAAGTGAAACTCATGCGTTCTTTGTGTTCATAATTATGATTTGGTTCACAGAAACGGAATTAAAATTTAAGTAATACATCTGTTGGGAGAAAAGAAGGGACTCCTCCATTTACCAACGTTAAAAATTTGCTCATGTTAAAATATAATTTTTAGCTTATACACACTATCCAAGCACTTTAAAGACAGGATATTTATCAATTGTCTGTATAATTGTCTACGTACATATTTTTTTCCCAGTTATAGTTTGGTCAGTCTGCTCATTCCTGAATGTTGTATTCTAGACTACACACCACTGCAAAGCCATAACAATAGTTTGCTTTTACTCTAAAGTCATATTAGAATGCAGATGAAGAGTAAATACTTTCTGTTTATTTAGGAAATGTTCATAAGCAAGCTGTGTGATCAGTGGCTTATTAATTAACAGTCTTTAATATTAATCTATGAGCTCTCAAGTCAATCAGTTATAGAAAGTGTCTGCAAAAGACAGACAGCCTACTCTCTTGGATATCTCTGGTGGTCTATGTCTCTGTCATACCCCTAAATCCGATGATTGATATGAAATATATGCATTTTATTTTCTGTTGTGTGTACTTTTTGAGAAATACTGCTTTGCTTTCTCGTTCTTATTCACTAAGTTGAAAACGCTAAGTGAATTTCAAATTTAATGTCAAAATCGCTAGACTGGAAAATTATCTAAGTCTGCTATGCTTTCATTTTGGCTATGAAATATTTTACATTTGAAATTCACTTTGAATTCTCATATTTGAACATAAACCTTCAATTTTCCACAAACTTACTACAGTACAATCCTCGTAACTGATCAATGCTTTAAGCCCAAGACTCTTTACCCCACACTTTTAGTTCCAAACATCTTTTGAGCGCAGTTTGAAATTTTTAAACAACACGTTTATTCTTGCCCTCCCCCTTTGTTCTTTTCTGTTTTTTTTCCACAATTGTACAGAGCAGCAGAATATGTAGGCACTTAATAAATGCCAGGAATAATAAAATTACCCATGGCAAACCAAACACCATTTAAATAGGTCCCTACTTATCGCGTTTAATGCTATTTTAATTTGGCTTAGGCTTATTTAATTATCTTACACTTCTTTACTGAATGTCGCATTTGATTTAGTTAGACAAGAATCCAAGATATATAATGTATTTGTTTTCTATCTTCTGATTTTCCCATCACCTGTCTTTCTGGCACCTCTAGATGACACCGTTCATTTTAAAGTGACATTCTCAAACTAGATACTTGTCTCTCAAATACCAGCAGTGTTCTTTGATTATTTTCTTTCCCCCACATCCTTTCCAGTGCTACAATCCATCTCTAGTGTGTCTCTCTCTCTTTCTATGTGCCATCAAACCGTTTTTATCAACCCACCATCTTACTTTATACATCCAACTCTGTTGTACTAGATGCTACACAGTATACTGTGGTAATAAAACAGTATTTCCAACTTTTTTCAAAAAAGAAAAAAAATAGAGCCTAGTGTTCTCTTGATGATAATTGTAAAAAAGCCATTTCCTCTGTCTTTGCAGAGTTTGATTCACTGTCTAGATTGGGTATCCCAGACCCTGTGAGTTATGTCAGGAAGAGGTACAAGTCTGCCCACTTACTATATTTAAAGTCTGTGTGTGTTGGCCAGGGCATTGTGGACCAAGTGGAGGCCTCTGTGGAGGAAGCAATAAGCTCGGGATCATGGCTGGATATATTGGTATGTCTTATCGTAAGCCACAAATTCTAGGTTTTTCTGTGCAACATTCTTTTTATACTTTCTGTATATTATTATATAATGTTCTTTGTTTAGATCATGTTTTTGTAAATAAATTAAACAGTTGCTTATTTCAAGGATTGTCCAATGTCCCATCAAATGAGGTATTTTCTAATTGCACCAATAGAACCATTTCATTTCCCATGGTGCACTTTATTTCATTTTGGGGCCTGGGGAGGTGTTTTTAGGTTCCCGTGATCCTTTGTCAAATGGTTATGAGGTTTTCTTTTCTTTTTTTTTTTTTTATACTTTAATCCTGGTGGTGAGATGACTTCACAGATTTGAAACCATGGGGATTTTAGAATTCCCAGGCACTAGTATATATAGTATTGGGGGGGGGGGGGTAATTTTCCTCTGCTCAACTTATAGGGTCTAAGGTGCTTTGGGACCCCCTAATCCAGTATAAAAACATTTTGTGATGATTTTCACTCAGAAATTTAAGTATCCCCTTCAGGTGATATGTGACATGCAGGATTTGTAGAACATTTTATTTTAAAAGCATAGTTTCATTCTTGTCAGGTTTTGCTGATTCATTTTCCAACTTTGCTGTGTTTTACATTTTAGCCCCTTCTGCCAAGTTGTTTGTCAGATGAAGATGCAGGAATGTTACTCCAACAAGTGATGAGAACATTGAACAAGTCATCGTCTGCTCGAGTCTTTGGAGATACAATTGTCATTAGTGAAAAATTTATCACTGAATGCTCAAATGTCTTTAATGGTCTCATGCACCATAAGGCTGAAAAGGTACATGGCTCATGTATTTTACTGATTACATTTGATTTGAATGCTAACGTTGTTGCCATTCAACACTCCTTACTGACAGAATTATTTGTCTACAACATAACTTTCCTTTTCTAGGAAATGAAAAACAGCCCTGTTTTCCTGGTTACTGAAGAAGACCTTAAGCAAGCAGCAGTGTTCGAAAATGCAACTGTAAACAAAAAAGATAAAAGGGAAGAAAGACGGAAAAGGGCATCAGGTTAATATAATTTTGCTTATTTTTCTAATGTTTTAAAGGGTCGCCACAAAACCAGTACATGCTAAAACTAAAATTGGCATTCTCAAACAAGATGCTTGTTTCTCAAATACCTGCACTGCTCTTTTTCCCGTCCTTTTCAGTGTGCAGTTAATATCTAGATTTTGTCTCTCTCGCTGCCATCAAACCATTATTAATCAGCCATTTCAGTTACATTTGTCAGAGAACATCAGAGACAACCACTAGAGCAGGGCTAGTCAACCTTCAGCACTCCAGATGTATATATACTATAATGTCTTACAGCCATAGTGCTGATAATGCATCTGGGATATGTAGTCCACAACATTTGTAGTATCGAAAGTTGCCTTCCTTTGTACTGGATGCACTTCCTTCTTAAGACCTTTGATAATTATGAAATGTTTCTGATTGGTGGAATGCTGTTTTGTCATTCATACACCAGTACTTCTCCATGAGAAGCATTATATTGGAACAGAAATCATCATGGAAAGACCAGGCTGCCAAATAATAATAATAATAATAATCTAAAATAAAAAATATTATAATTTTTATAATGTATTGGTTTTCCTTTAACTATACCTAATATGAATATTCGGTTTACAATCCCATTATATTTTGTTGTTTATGAGCTGGATTTTATGTATTCAAGGTATAAGTAAAATAAACTTCGACATTTTTATTTTTTATATTGGAGACAATCAATGCTGGGATCACTTTCACTCTTTGTGGATCCTTGGATACTGAGCAGATCAACACGGTCAAATGCTCATGTACTAGAGAATGACAGAGACACTGTATAGAAAATACCCTTTCCATTAATACACTATGACAGGCAAATAATAGCATTATTTTTTATTTATTTATCAGAATTGATCAGACTTCTTTGCTAACAAAATAAAGGCATATAAATATGGCATACTGGAGTGGCTGCCCATCCCTCCCTAAAATGATGCGGCAGCATTTAACTGTGCAACCATGCAGTATGTATTCTGGAACTCTGCAAATTTAATTTGCTAATCAGGCTGCTTGTGGCAAGGAGTTGGAGTTTAAAGGGGACTTCTGTATATAGTATACTTTAAAATGTAATCTAGCTAAAGTTTATCTTCTCGCTCACATGTTCATGGCTGATAGGCACTCTTCATGTTACCATTCTTTTCTGAATTACTGAAATTTCTTATTATTTATTGTTCTGACCTTCTCTAACAATTCTTTATTGCTTTTTACCAATAAAGGGAAAAGGACACAAATGTACATGAACATATAATATTTACAGCTTACAGTGTTCTGCAGAGTTTCCATGGACTTGTTACTGTAGAAACATTTAGCATTTGCAGCAGCTACTATTGTCCAAATAAGATTTTACAATCTAAGCTGGCTGAATCAGGAATGCTACAGATTCTGTCATGTTCCATATAACCACTATCGAGAGCTGTTGGTTGATAATCTATGTTTCTCTATCAAGCTTAGTTACAAGCCCATGATCTGTTTAAAAAAAATAAATACAAAAAATGAATTTTTAATTTGGCAGGACTTTCAGCACCTATTTATTTTTTCATTGTGGAAATCACAAAAACCTCTAAGCAAGAGTTGTTTGGTTCTGATAAATATATTATCTGATCCACACCTCATTGTCAGCATCCCAGATACAGCCATTGTGTGTTTTAAATAAAGATTGCTAATGTTTTGGTTAGCATATCTACTTGATAAAAGTGAGCCGGTCATCCACAAATTAATTAAGCCTGTATTTTAAGCCGAAAAAGGTCTACGAAAATAGACTGTTTGTTTTGTATTGTACTGTGTGTATTGTAAATGAATTGTCCCATGAATTCATCAGGCAAGACAAAAGCCAACTTGGTTTAATATGGGAATTCATGGGAATTCAGAAATAATTCTAAGGGAGTTTCAAATTTAAGGCCAAAATCTTTCTCTGCACAGCATAGAATTAAGAATACCTATTGAAATGTGGGTTAACACTCTCCTTAAATTGTGTATTTTTGAACTCTTTGTAAAGGAAGCATCTGCAGCTAGTCAACCAAATTGTAAGCACCTGAAGCTCTCAACAGGTTTCCAAAATCTAGACTTGCAGGGTTATTCGCTAGAATGAGAAATGCTGACAATTTCAAATGTAGGCCAAAACAAATGATTTAGAATAAATTCTCCTAGTTAAATCTGGTTTCAGTTTGGCTATTTTGGCCTTTGAAAGATTTGAAATTCACTTAGAATTCTCTTTGGCCCTGTAGACCTTTGATTTGTTTGCTGCACATATTCAGAGATATTTTGGATATTGAGGTAATAATATTATGGCAAATACCCTATAGAGATATCAATTTCCTTAACACATTCTGATGATACAGTTCTAAAGTATTAGATTTCATTACCCTCCGCACCTTCTGTTCAAGTTTGTCCTGCTTGCTTTGTTGAAATTTCTTCTTTATTAGTCCATTTATTGTGCAGCTCAACAGAATTTGTTGACGCTTCATAAATATTATTAATATAATTGACATGTACACTGAGCAGCTACAATATTAAAACCATTAACATGTGACTTGCATTGATTATATCATTACCATGGCACCTGTAAAGAGATGGTATATATTAGGCAGCAAGTGAACAGTCAGATTGTTTGGTCTGATGAATCACATTTTGTTTTAGATCAGATTGATGGCCGGGTGCATGTGCGTCAACTACCTGGGGAAGAGATGATGTCAGGATGCACTATGGGAGATCGGTGGATTCAGTGTTATGCTTTAGCAAGGTTCTGCTGGGAAACCTTTGGTCTTGCAATTCATGTGGATTTTACTTTGAAACATCCCACCTACCTAGAGATTGTTGTAGACTACGTACACTCCTTTATTGCATTTATTGCAGGGTGCATTATCCTCTTTCAGCAGGATAATGCACTCTGACACACTGCAAACATTGCTCAGGAATGGCTTGAGGAACATGAGAAAAAGATCAAGCTGTTGCTTTGGCCTCCAAATTCCCCAGACAGAACAACAAATCCAATCCATGGAAGCACCACCTAGCAACTTACAGTAATTAAAGGATCTGCTGCTAATGTCTTGGTGCCAGAAGCCACAGGACACCTTCAGAGCCCTTGTGGAGCCCATAACTGAATGCATTAGAGCCGCTTTAGTAACACAAGCAACACAAAAGAGGACCTACATGATATATTAGGCAGGTGAATTTAATGTTGTGGCCGATCAGTATATATTGTTTTATAAAATGTGAACACATTTTGATGACTGGTTCAAACCTTTAATGTTTGTATAATGTAATTATTTGTTTAGTAGTAAGTAGTGCTAAGACAAGGAAGAGATGTGTGTATCTAAAATTCTGGTTAATATACAGTTAATATAACATAGCTCTGCTTCTGAGTCCTCTCTTTCTTTAAATACTTGCTAATACAACTTTTTTCCACCAGAGGGCAGTGGAAGCACTCGAGGAGGCGGCGGTAGTAATGCAAGAGAAATAAAAATAAAAAAATCAAAGAAAAAGACAAGAAAGGACGAAGACAGTGATGATGAATCACAGACAGTTAGCACAAGTAATTTGAATAGATTTTTAATTTTTTTTAAATGTAAAATTTGTCTTGGTCCTATATTAAAAAAAAGTTACTGTAATACAATGTATTTGTTATTTAAATTAGAAATATACGTATTTCAGGACTCCCCATCTTGCTACAGATTGGTGATCTTTGCGCTCATTTTAAAACCTGCCCGAGAAGAGACCTTAGTAGTCCGAGAAATCCAAGTGCTTGCATGTTTGAAATAGGCTTCAGCAGTAATAATCATTTCCCAATATATATATATATATATATATATATATATATATATATATATATATATATATATATAATAATTTTTTTTTTTTTTTTTTACTTGTGTTTTTGGGAGGTCCGAAAGAAATTCACACATCTATGTTAGAACTGGATTTTCTTTATTTTGGCCTCTCATGGATCATCGTCCTAACTGTTGCTTATATCTGCCACTGAATATAGTCAGCAGAAGAAGAGAAACTGAAACAACGTTTCTGTTCTCCTCATTTACATAGTGTGCCCTGCATGTGCCTAGTCTGAGCTGGATTGTGACATCACTTGGAAATCTTTAATACATAACGAAAATAAAATGAAAAATCACATGAAAAGAGCAAATATTGTAATAGTGTGATTTCCAGGCAAATGACAATTCCACATTCATAATGAACTTGCCTCTAGGGCTCCCTTTGCTCACCAGAGCTGCATAACTTATTTACAATGCAGGTAGGATTTTACATCACAGCAGATCCTGCTGGTGCTGTGAATCTTATGTGACACCTAATAGCAAGGAATCCCTGAAGCCACAAGCCAAGAGATCGCTTGCTTGCAGGCCATGGGGTTGAAGAGAGGAAATCTTTGTGATCTCCCCTGAGCACTAGAGTGATGTTCCATTTCTGTGTTGCCATAGATTAAGCAATCCCTTAACAATATAGCTGCAGTATCTGTAGCACATGTGAAAATTGCAGGTTCAGTCCCTGGCAAACTATATTCATCCAGTCATCCTTCTGAAATGATTAAAGTTTCAGATGGGTAATAATGTCAATACCACAGCAAGTTACATAACTGACAAAAGCCCCTGGTTAAGTAATTTGATATTATAAAGTATAGATCAAGTTGTAATATTTGAAATAGACATCATTTGTTTTTGTAGATAACATTTCCTTCTTAGTTTAAGCATTGAATGTTTTGAGAAGAGTATGCAAAATTAAATTGGTTCAAGTTCTGTCTCCCAGAACACTTTTTTTTTTGTTAAACTTCGCTGCTTCCTGGTGCACACTTAAAATCAGATGATTTATTTGAAATAATTAAACACATTTTGCATGTCTTACTCCAGAAATAATAAAACTGATATATAGTGAGCACTCTGAGCCTGTACTGTTGGACAGTTTAATGAGGTCGTATTTTCAATCGCGATTTAATTACGGTTTTTCCTCTACATCAGATAAACCAAAGGAACGCGAGATCCCATTTATGTCTCTGGATGAAATTCAGAACGTTTTACGAAAACATGCCTCTGACTGCCCAGATGAGCTGATCCTTGAGCTTTCTGAAAATTTAATAAGGTTATATCATTTTATCCTTGTGCAAGATTTGATTGCTCCTCTTTAGCTTTATCGACAGCTTTCCATTAACACTTTCAATGCTGTCAAATAACTTAGCCCATTGCAACAATGTTTCCATGGAACTAATGGACAAGTCCATAAAACGCTCATGATTTACGTGTTACAATATAATGATGACCATGGTAAAATGCCAAGGTCTATTATATTCTACATTTCATTGTCGAGAACTGTAAAATGGAAGTTAACAAAAAATTAGTGATGGGAAACTGTAGGATTTCTAAGTTTTAGTTCTGGGAAATGGGATTGCTGCCAATTACTAGGATGTTCATCAACCTTGATAGTTATTTTGTTACTTGCCTTTCACATATATTGATTGAATGTGTCATAGTTAAAATGATTTTGCTAAACCATGCAGTTATGTGCTCATTCAGTAAAGCAGTGGAATTAAGTGAGCATTAAATACTCTTAGAACACGGGTGACTCATGTGGTGGATCGCCGCTGACCTTTATTAAAGTCACCAATGATAGGGCTATGTTTCAGTCTTACGTGAAGATTTGGTGTGCAATACTTGTCCATAACCAGTATGGCCGATGTATAGAAATGAAGTAAAATGTCATTATGTATATTACACTGGCAAATTCTACAGCATAGTACAATCGCTAAAGAGTTTGTTTGACAGCTGTATAATGATTTTGTTGTTATTGTTACATAGTTACATAGCTGAAAAGAGACTTGCGTCCATCAAGTTCAACCTTCCTCAGATATGTTTGTGCTGTTGATCCAAAAGAAGGCAAAAAACCTAGTCTGAAGCGCTTCCAATTTTGCAACAAACTAGGAACAAATTCCTTCTTGACCCCAAAATAGTAGTCGGATGTCTCCTTGGATCAAGCAGTTATTACCCCACTAATTAGAAATTATATTCCTGTATGTTATGTTTTTGCAAGTATTTATCTAGTAATAGACAATGTGCATTCATAACCAAACAGGTTCTGTTTACATTATTACGGTGTATATAGTTAGTCTTGTATGAAATCCACTGTTATCATGCCTAATTAAGGTTCTCTAAATGTTTCTCGTTACTATGGCAATTTATATATTCTCCTATTAAACACGTGCTCCACACTATACATTCTAAAGTTGCACTATTTTTTTCTGTTACTAGTCTTGAGAATGTATTGATGAACTGAAACACAACCTTTCTAATTATGTGTGTTTCACTGCTTCATTTCATGAGAACATCTGCTTTAAAATTAAACAACGTCGTACTTCCATTCTCAAACCTCTTATTTCTGTTGTGTTTGGCACTTGATATTTTCCATTATTACCACTGGAATTCAGTTTTTATTTTTTTTTAAATCTTAAATGTACAAATACACTAGAAGCGTGTTTTTAGAACATCTTGTTTACTCATTGCAGGCCTTTAACAAAAAGTTACCAAGAAGTTTTGAGATCGGTTTTCTTGTCCTCTTCAACATCAGCATCAGGGACCACTAGAAAACAAACCATGAAAGACTTCCAAGAAGAGCTTTCCAACCTCTACAATAATATCAGGTTGTTTGAAAGGGGAATCAAGCATTTTTCAGGTAGGTATATATATATTGGAATTTAGGAAACAATGCCCAGTCTTTACGAATGAGATTTATAATGAATGCGGCGGCGAGGCTCATCTTCCTGTCTGCCCGCACCTCCCACGCCTCCCCCCTTTGTCAGTCCCTACAATGGCTTTCCGTAAGATATAGGACTCAAGATTAAGATCCTGATACTTGCTTACAAATCTCTACACAATCCTGCTCCGACCTACTTATCCTCACTAATACACAAATATGTCCCATCTAAGTACCTACGCTCTGCCGGAGACCTACATCTATCCTCGGTTCATACTCCTGCCTCTGATGCTCACCTTAAAGACTTCAATGGGCCTATGGAATTCCCTTCCCCTCTCTGTTAGACTCTCATTAGCCTCTGATTCCGCTCCTGTAACTGTCATCAAAACAAAGCACTAAGCCCTCAATGAAAACTATCCTAGCAACCTACTTTTCTACCCTACCCTTATCTTTTGTGTCACTATACCCCAATCCCTCTAGAATGTAAGCTCATTGAGCAGGGCCCTCAATCCCTCTGTTCCTGTGTGTCCAACTCGTCTGGTTACAAATACTTGTCTGTTAGTCCACCCATTGTAAAGCGCTACGGAACTTGTTGGTGCTTTATAAAAATAAATAATAATATATAATTGTAACTTGGCCTGATATTTGGGATCTATCTAGAAATATTATTTAGACATTTTAGTTGGTGATTGTACCAAACGTAGTACTTGATCAGTGGTTGCAGCAGTAATTCCCAGCAGAGTCAACTTGTTGTTTTGTCCTTACATCGATTTATCTTGTACAGTTGGGTTATATAACTATATGTTTCTTTACAAATTAAAAGAAGACTCCAAAGAGCATGCTGATTCCCCTTGACAAGTGCTCTATAAAAATTATTATTTCTTCAGTAATTTTCTTCAGATGTACATGGTTTCCCCTTTTACATAACTTTTTATGATTTGTACATGGTTTCCCCTTTTTCATGGTAAATTTTTCTTCTGTGTACACCACTATTAGACGGTCCTATTTTGTAGATGACGTTTGCCTGTTTTGCAGATGAAACACAAAGCAGTCTTGCTAAGCATCTCCTGAAGACCATATGCACAGATATTACCAATATGATTTTCAATTTTCTTGCTGCTGATTTCATGATGGCTGTAGAAGACTACTCTACCATTACGAGTGAGGTCGGTAAACTAAAGGAAATGTGGAACTGTATGATCCTTGTTGTCCATTAAGTTACCCTTTTCATTTATTTATTTTTTGTACAGATTTTGTTTAATCTAGAAACAAACGAATCCCAAAATAAATTAGGTAGAGTATGTTAAAACTGTCTCAGATCGTAGGGAAAACACACAGTAGCTGTAAATCAATAAGAATCAATGAAAATAAAAAATCATTGGGAATAATTTGTTTAAAATGGCTCAGATCGTAAAAGGAAAACACACAGTAGATGTAAATCAATTAGAATCAATGGAAATAAAAATAAAATACTGATACAAAATAGATAAAAATCTAATTAGAAAAAAATCCATAGTCCAAAAGTTCAAAAAATAAATTAATAATCTGCAAAGTAAAATCAAAACATCATACTGCTTTCTTTATCCAATAATTTATTCAGACACATGATTTAAAAAAAAAAAGTACAAAATAAGTCAGTAGGCACATCAGATATAAAACTTAGATCTTCCCACTGTGACTGCCCTAAATCTCTTGAGCCTTTCTTCCGTGCATTGATGAGCACCAGCCTTTTCTGCTTTGTTGTCCACTGTTGGAATCAGAGGACCAGAAATTTTGTCAGCAGGGGTTCCTGCACTGAATGTAAGCTGCTTGCTTTTGCGTGTCACCGAAAAAATAGACCACACCACTTAACGCGTTTCATGGAACACTGTCACTTTATCAGGGGTCACATTAAATGTATTAGGCTGTATATGTATATATCGTATATGTGTGTGTGTGTCTGTCTGTCTGTCTGTCTGTACCATTTAATTATTTATTTATTTATTTTTACTGATTTTATAGAAACAAAAGCATCCTAAAATGAATTGGAAAGAATATGATAAAAATGGTTCAGATCAAATAAACACTGATACAAAATGTCAGCATATAGATGGATATATGTATCGATAGATAGAGCTACATATAGATAGATATATACTTGCCTGGGAGATATATATATATATATCAGGGGGGAGGCTGCACTCACCTGAACAAGCATATATGGGGTGCTACTGGTGGCCAAATTATACAATACACAAGATCAAGCGCACTCACTTATTCACTAAACAGCAACTTCAATGTTGACAAATTTTTAGTTTTTTTTTTTTTTATAAATACACCTAATGTAGGCAAAAATAATGGGGGTTTAGTTACATTATATGATCATACATTGCATAAGCCTGCAACAATGTCAATGTACCCAATCTTTGGCAGGTCCTACACTAACAGCCTAATGTCTGCTCTTATGAGATTAACCCACTTGGGGAAAAAAATCCATCTGGGGCTCTCTGCAGTACAAGGCTAAATTGGGTTCTGGGATGAGGCACCTGTGACAGGAAGAGGTGCAAAACCAAGGAGTTGGCTAGACTCCCAAATAAAAAAAAAATATATAAATATATATAAAACAGGGGGGATGCTGCACTCACTTGAACATGCATAAATGGGGTGCTGGCCAAATTATACAATACACAAGATCCAGCGCACTCACCTATCCACTAAACAGCAACTTCAATGTTGACAGATTTTATTAGTTTTATTTAAAAACACCTAATCTAGGCAAAAATAATGGGGGTTTAGTTACATTATATGATCATTCATTGCATAAGCCTGCCACAACGTCAATGGACCCCATGTTTGGCAGGTCCTATTCTAACAGCCTAATGTCTGCTCTTATGAGATTAACCCACTTCCTTGGGGAAAAAAAATCCATCTGGGGCTCTCTGCAGTACAAGGGTAAATAGGGCCCTGGGATGAGGCACCCGTGACAGGTATATAAATAAATAAAATATTTTATATGTTCTTTCCATTTCATTTTAGTATGCTTTTGTTTCTATAAAAGCAGTTTAAAAAAAAAAAAATAGATATATATTATACTATAATATAAAATCTCTAGCAGTCCTATGCTACTAGTCAGACCTTATTAGCTGCTACTCACCAGAGGTGAATCTCTACTTACCAATGTCTAGTGATGAGTGGAAGTTTTTGGCCGTGTGTGAGAATTTTTATTATTTGTCCTTAAAATGAGTGTTCTCATTGTATGTTTGGTTAGTTTGTGGTTTAGATTAATGTAATCCCACATTTTGTTTAGTGTGTTTAGTTTTACAGAAGTCTGAAGTTAGTTTGAAATATTTTGCCTGACATACTTTTTGAATATTAGATTCATTACTAAAACATTAGTGCTATGCGTGTGCTCTTTCTGTACGGTTGCTATCAGTTTATTCAGTAGTTACCCCCCGGCAAAAATCTGACTCACTTTTGCTTTCCAGGTTAGAAAAAAAATGTTGAACAAACTTCAAGAGGAGACTAAAGGCCCCTTATCAAAACTTCAAGGTTCATTATCTGGAAAGGTAAGGATGAAAACTGCAGGTTTGTTTTAGAACACATAATGATTTAATGCTGTTGCCATTGTAGGCTGCAGTACAAAATTATGGGGCAAATAAATGAATTTTCTAAAATGTTAAGTCACTTAGTTGTATTTATTTTTCTTCCATATATTTTTTTTTTTTTTAACTTTCACTTCAGTTTGAAAAAAAAGAGAAAACGTGCATGACTTTTCAAGTCTAGTTGCGCCAACGCTTGATATGCTCATGGAAAGTTTACATCTCTAATATATGTTCACTTGTACCATCTTTATTGGTCCAAGTGAGCCAAAGCTAATTGGACATTGCCCTTAGTGATCTATTAACCTAATATTCGTTCTCTGAGGGTCTCCTACAGGTTTCTTGGTTTATTTAATCTAACTTGTAAGCCGGTTAGGAGGGACACTATTGGACATAATATAGGTTATAAGAGAAATCCTTGAACCACTATTAAAATCCTGGATGTATCTGAAATAACTAAACAGTAAATCCAGTGTTTTGTCTTTTCTATCCAGATGTATGCGCGTGTATTATTTGGTTTAAATTTTTACCAAGCAATGTATTTTCCATATTTGTACATACAGCAGAATTGTTGCTGCATTTTTAACACTTTTTTTTTCCCCCCTTTGTATTGACAGGGTGTACCTGTAGGTAACTTTATCTGTTTATCAGGTTTTCCTACTAAGTTGTTAAACAAGCCGTGACACAAGTCTCTCTCTTCTTCTCTCATATATATTTTAAATTGTTGTTTAGATAAATAAATTAAGCAGACACTTTTAAATATTTATATACTGCTTAAGTCACATCTTACAAGGAACACTGATCAACAGATAGCTTTACATAAAGGTCATCGCTGATTATGTTAAAAAAAAACAGGAACAAAAAATATTTTGAGATGTACAGTATGGGAAGTTAATAAACAATTTGAAAATGTGTCTAAACCGTAAACTCTTTGCAGTTGAATATATTTTAATATGGATATGAATAAAAGTTTATGATGTGAATAAAAATACACACAGGGATTCCTCGCATCATTTAATTTTTCTGTCCTTAGCCAATATACTTTCCAGTTTGGGTTTGATTCAAAAGTACGAAAAACACATGTATAAGTAAAAAACAGTAGTCTGTTTACCTCCTAACATGTTGTCAGAATTGAGGGCTAATTTAGAAAAGCATTCGGAAAACAGTCTTATTTTTGTTCTCTAATCTGTTTGTATTTATTAAATTGTTCTAGAAATGATCCAAAACATGTTAACTTCCCTCTACCTAAAGTCTGTCATTTTTCATAGACCTATCCATTTAGGCTAAAAAAAAAACAGAATACTTTTCTGATTGAAAAAAGTGAGAAAAAAAAAAATTGATATCAACAAAAAGTATAAAAACTATTGATATCACCCTCACCCCCCAAAAAATAAATATTGTGACATGAGAAGTAGTACATTTGTGGTCAATACAGAAGGTGTTGAGTTTATAAGTTAGGCTTTTCTAATACTCACAAATAATCGAAAGATTTGGTGTTACAATGTGATTATAGAACATGTTAATGTTTACGATATACAGCTGGCTTTAGGAGAGGCTTTAGTCAGTATATATGGGAGGTGCCATAGACGTTTTTCTTTTTGCCATCTAGCGTTGTAGCTGGTTCTATTGTTTGTTTGATCATTTTGTAAATGAATATTATTGATTTATTAAAGAAATCACACATTAATGAACTTTTTTTTTTTTTTTTTTACTAGAGTATAGAAGAATTTCTTTCATTTCTGGACACATCAGTAGAAGCGTGTGGCATATTAATAAAAAAAGGCGATAAGAAGAAAGAAAGGTATCATATTTCTGTATAGTTTTTGTAAATGTTCCCAGATAATTTTAGTAAGACAGTTTCTAAATGTTGGTTTGTCAGATGGCAGCAGAATAATTTTTTATTTTTATTTTTTCCCCCATAAAACATATACAGTAGTCTAGCAGGGTTATTCTCTGAACTCCAAATATAGTAGATTAAAATCTCAGTTGGAAAATTTAGATATCATTACCTGATTTGGAAAAATCTTCTTCTACTCCAGTGTATGTAGCTTAGCTTTTCTAAGCTAAAGTTTGCCATTTGGATTGCAATTCACTACAATCTGGAGTTTGGTAAATAACCATTTTAAAAAATGATTTGTTAATTTTTTTGTTTTGATTTGTACTAAATCAGCTACATTTACTATTACAATGTATTTGTGTTGTATGTGTTCTGCATTAAATATGTAATTCTCCAGAACATACTTTATAAATGTCAGAAACATTAATGCAGGTAAAACATTTTGTAAATAAATGAGTAAAACAGTAAATTATTTTATTTTTACAGGCAAGTTTTGTTCCAGCACAGGCAGGCTCTGTTAGAACAAGTGAAGGTGACAGAAGATCCAGCTCTAGTCCTACATCTCACATCCGTTCTGCTGTTCCAGCTGACTACACACTGCATGCTTCATGCCCCAGGGAGATGTGTCCCACAGATTATTGCTTTCCTGCACACAAAAATCCCACAGGTATTCTGCTTAAAAAAAAATAATTGCTTGGATAATTGTGCTATATTCAGATTATGAGAGTGTAAATAATGCCTCTGCTTGTGGATTACCAAATGTAATCTAGTACATACAGGAGAAGAGCTTTAGATTTTAAATCTGGATACTGTTTGCACTGTTTATCAGGAGCATTTGAATGGACGCGAATGCCCACATATTACTAGACAATTGATATCTACTTGTTATAATTCCAGACTTTCTGTACTAGGGATCAACCGATTATCGGTTTGGCCGATATTCCAGAGTTTGGGAAATATTGGTATCGGCCACTATTGATACCGATATTGCCGATAATGTGAGAGGTGGCGGTGGTCCAGCACACTCAGGGCCGGCGCGTCCATAAGGCAGCACAGACGGCCGTCTTAGGGTGCTCTGGCTCTGGAGGCACAAGGATCGAGTGACAGGCAGGAAGGAAGCGCAGAGCAGACCACAGGACTAGAGCTTCCGTTTCCTGTACCCGGCCAGTGAGCACTTCCTGTCAGTCCGGCTGGGTACAGGAAACTGAAGATCCTGTATTGCAGTCTGCTGTGCTCAGCCACGCTACAAGAGAGGTAATGAGGCACACCAGGGAGGTGAGAGGTCCACTAAGGGAGGGTGGGGGAGAGACACTTAAGGACAGGGAGGGAGAAAAATATTGAGGGGGGAGAGAGGACCACTAAAGGACAGGGAAGGGAGGGTAGGCGAGGATAAAGGAATACTAATGGACAGGGAGGGGAGAAATACACTAAGGGACAGGGAAGGGAGAGGAACACTAAATATTCTTGAAAACCTAAAGTCTGACTGGCATGTATATTTTGTGTATTCACCACTTAATAAAAACAAGATTTGTTATAAATATTAAATAAACATGTTCAGTAAACAGTAGATTTGTGTAGAAATTGTTTCTTTTTCCAAACGGAAAATTTACAGAATATTGGTCAGTTATCGGCCTAAAAGTTCACAGATTATCGGTATTTGTATCGGTTCTAAAAAATGAATATCTGTTGATCCCTAATCTATACTCTGGCAGTCCTAGTTGCCAGTGTACAAATCTCATATAGTTACTTGAGCAACAAAGTCCTCCCTTAACCCCCAGCCAAGCTTGCGATGGTGGTGGCTGATCATCCATTAATTTTTTACTGGAATGGGCTTTTACGTAAATAAAAATAAGGCAGGATTTCCGTCTATGCTTTTCCTTCATTTCCCCTGCAGTGGCAATGAGTCCACCTTTGTTTTCACACGTGTACATCAGTTCTATTGAAACTGGCAACTGAAACTAGGAACTGGAAAAAGTAGGGCACAATGTTCACACTTAAAGCATTCCAACAAACTGAAGTGCTTTAGGGGTCTTGAGTGTACCTTTAAAAGTAAAATAACTTTAACTGAGCCACTTAATTTTGTTCATACGTTTCTCCTCTGTACTTTATTTATTTATTTATTTCCTCTTTTCCTCAGGATCAGCACGAGTTGTTGGCTAACTACCAGGGCCTTGTGGTAAAACAGCTAATCGGACAGACAAAACATAATGACAATGAGGATCACGACACATTGGGAGATACAGCAACAGAGACCGAAAAAGGACCAGAAAGTATTAGAAAAGAGCTTCAGGAGCTAACAACTGCCATCAAAGATTTAGTCCTTCGACCAAGAAAAATCTCTAATACAGAAGAATAATCATCTGATATTGTATAGCTATGGACTTTAATAATTTGTTTAATTTCTGCTTAAATTAAAAAGACCAACCAATTCAATGCATTTATTAAATCAAGCTATTGTTAAACAGCCTATTTCTATCAATGTTTTTGCTGGAATTACATAATTAAATATGTAATAAAGTTGTTGGAAATGGTAGGCTGGGCTTCAGTTTAACACACAGTGATAACTGTTAAAACACCAAAGGCTAACTGGCAAGTTCTACCTATAAAAAAACAGCACAATTGTGCTTTAGTTGTGTAGCGCAGCATATAATCATTGTAACATGCAATCTTCAATAAACCGAGTCCATGGCGGGCTACATTTTTACATGTGTGTCATTTCATATTTTACATGAACACAATAAAAGTGGTCAAGGTACTAAAATTGATTTACAGCTTTGCAATAACTTTTTTTTTTTTATATAAGCTTTATCTTATAAACTGAATAAAAATCACATATGCTTATGCGTGGACTTCTTCCCAGGCTCCCTCCATTGTTTTCAGAATGTTCGTTATCTAGGTCAGGACTTGACAAAAATCCAAGTTGCCATGGTGACCGAGAAATGGAACCTTGTGTAGAGAATTTTTTTTCTCTACTGCACCTGCCTTGTGTGTCTGGACTGCTCTGGAGCTTTGGGAAATAAGGCAAGATGCTTCTCTGCTTAAACATTATCCTAGGCTGAAATTGACACTGGCTTACACCCTGAACAAAGGGTTAACCTTGAGTTATGAGTGTTAACAGAAGTGGCATTGTCATGGTTTTATTTTTCTTTCAGTTTTCTTTTTTCATGTACATTGCATCTTAATGATACTTGCTCACTTGCCTATATATATATATATATATATATAATATATATATATATATATATATATATATAATATCTATCTATATCTATCTTAAGCAAAGTTCCATTTCAGATGCCAAGTTAATTTACCCACAATTCACCAGTCAAAAGAACCACACAGTAGGGCAAAAACTACAGACATCATGGACAGACGAATGTCACGGCTCCTAAGCAGCCACGCCGTCAGATATTTCTCACTAACTTCACTGCAGCTGCCTGGTCTCCCTCTGTTCCGGTCCACAGCGGGTGCAACGTTCTTTGGAACACCGGCCGCTGCAGTTTAGATTTTTATGCGAAACTTACCAGTTGATGCCTATGTGCGTGCGATGTCACATCATGGATGCGCACGCACGTTATGAGGTCAGAGACAGCCAATTACAGCCTAGGGAGGGTTATTTAAACCCAGATTACCTTTTTTTTCAGTGCCCTGTCATGATTTCCACTAGCTGGTTATCCAAGAGTGTGTTCCTGATTGCATTTTTCTGTTATTTGACTTTGGCTTCGTTTTGACTTCCCTGATCGCTGGTGTCCTTACTTCTGGCTTTACTCATCGTTGTCTCATTCTGTGTCCCTGACCTCGACAAGTATTTTGACTATTCTCCGATACGTTAAGTCCAGCCATTTTAAGATCCGGTTAGACATTATCCTTAGTCCTAGGTGTGATACTATTCTGCGTGCTGGATCAACAATAATCCTGACATTACGACATGGCCATAGTTCCTGCAGATTTGTCAGCACATAGTAGCTTGCAAGAGAAAGCCAGAGGAAAATAACCGTATGGATCAATTTGCCCAGGCTTTCAATACGCTCTAAATACGTACGGCTAATTTGCAGCCTGAAGTTCCTCCGACAAGTACACCCCTGCCTACCGTACCTACACCTATAGTGTATAAGGCACCTACTATCTCCACCCCTGCATTTTGAGGCTATTACTCAAAAATGTCGGGGGTTCCTTAACCAAATTGAGTATCATTTTGAAGCCTCACGTGGGTCCTTCTCCACGGGTAAAGCTAAAATTGGGTACTTAATGAACCAACTGAAAGGTAAATCCTTAGCATGGGCCAATCCATTATGGGAGAGTAATAGGACTATTGCCTATAATTACCAGGAATTCCTTGCGGAATTCAAATTAATGTTTGTACCATTAGAAAGGGAGAACAACGCTGCCACTGCCCTAAGGCGGGCGTATCAAACAAGAGAACCGTTCTGTCTCAGATTATGCCATAGAATTCCGCACACTGGCTTCTGAGGTAACCAAAGATCTACCGAAGATGCTAAATGAATACATCACTTATGTGATGCATATCGATAACTTGAAATAGAACCAGATGTATGAATATGTCACTGGCACCTCGCTTCTCCAGTCCTGTTGTCCCTGGCCGTTATTTGCAGTTTGAACCTATGCAGTTAGGGGTTATGAGACTGTCAGAGGCAGAGAAACAGTTCAGGGGAAAATAAGTCCTCTGCTTATACCGTGGCAAGGAAGGACATATAAGAAGTGCTTGTCCCATACGCCCGGAAAACTGGGCACCTAAGAACCATCAGGGGGCCGGCCTTAGGTGTGATGTATATGTCCCTTGGTACACTCCAAAGTATATTTCACCTTAGTGTTGCTGCTCAATGCAATAAGATAAATTTTACGTGTAACGCCTTGATTGACACAGGCGCTGCAGAAAGTTTTGACATGCAATTTTCCAGTTAACACCTCCGACCCATCAAGGATAGATCTTCACCCCGGCCGTCGAGGTTATTGATGGGAGACCACTCTCTCAGCCTCTTATTACCCACTGTCACGATATGAGCATTACACAATGAACTAATCACATTTCAGATAATTGCTTCCCCTTCTTTTCCCATTATACTTGGATTTCCATGGCTTGATAAGCATAATCCCCGTATTGATTGAGCTAAAGGGGAAATACTGGAATGGGGCAAAGAATGTAGAGAGAAATGTATGTCGCCTATTACTAAGAGAGTTGGTATTGGTAATCTACCTACTCTTACGCCTCAGTCTACCAAAATTCCTGTACATTATAGGGAGGTTAAAGAAGTGTTTAATAAAAATCACAGTGGTACACTACCCCCTCACAGATCCTATGATTGCTCGATAGATTTTTTTACCTGGCACTATACCCCTAAAGGGGGAGTATATACCTGATCACCACAGGAGAGTAGAATTATGGAGGAATACATTAAAGAGTCTCTACAAAAAGGACACATAGGTAATTTTTTTTGCCTGAAGGTGCAATGGTATTTTTTGTATCTAAGAAAGGAGGAAATTTATGGCCATGTATTGATTATAGGGCATTAAACAAGATCACCTTAAAAAAAAAACGCTTATCCCATTCCCCTTATCTCAGATTTGTTTGACAGACTCCAAGGTGCTAAGGTGTTTACCAAACTCGACCTTAGGAGTGCTTATAATTTGGTAAGGATTAAGGAGGGACATGAATGGAGAACTGCATATAACACAAGAAATGGTCTCTATGAGTATCTTGTCATGCCCTTTGGCTTATGTAATGCTCCAGCCGTATTTCAGAATCTCATTGATGATGTTCTCATAGACTACATTTATACTTTCGTATTGGTATATCTGGATGATATACTCCTTTATTCCCCCGATCTCCAGACTCATCAAACTAGTTTTACAAACTTTTATTTTTTTTTAAATTTTTTTATTTTTGCAGTGCATAAGAATGGTACAGACCAGCTTGAGGTGACCCAACAGCAATCCTCAGGCATTCCATCACGCATGCGGGGTAAATTAATAACATAGCACAATTTTATAGTATAAACAGGCATAATAAAGTTGTGTCATTAGACTATTATCATTAAGCAGGAGGTAAAAAGGGTATGCAAATTGACATAAGATAGATATATAATAACATATATAAGCCTATGGTAAGCAAATCCATCCTGTCTAGATAGTGGAGGGAGGCAAGAGTATGGTGTATCTTGTGAGAAGTTGTGTAGTACAGAGTAAGAGAGTGTAGGATATCAGGCCTAGTGTGCTGACAAAGTAAAGCAATATACATATCAAGTTAAGATCACTAGACAGGTTGCGAAGATATGCCGTCTGATCCGGCACTGTCTGTAATAGAGCTTGGTAATAGAGTCCTGCATGGTGAAGGTGGTCGTGGGCTGTTCACAGTCATGGTCTAACAGCTTCACCCAGAACCTTTCAAATATTGCATGAAGAGTGTCTGGTGCTGTAGCGCTGGGGCCTGCGGTGTCATGCTGTAACAGGGTCAGGCCGTGTGTAGAGGAGCCTTGTATGTCTGCCATCATGGTTCCCTCCGCTCCCGGTCAGCTCAGGAGTAGTACAGGGTTCTCTCGGGATGACAGGGACCAGGATAACCCCCACCGGTCCACGGGGGGAAGAGAGGGGTAGGAGAGTCATATTCAGACGGGTCTTGAGACTGTAGGAGGAAAGCGTCCGTCTTTCCCCCACACGCTCTCTGGTAGGCCGCACCTTGCTGCCGCGGTTCCCAGGCACTCTTAACATTGACTCCGGTGTCAAAAATTGCGAGTAACTTATCTCTGCTTGTGGGGCTCCGTAGACGCCATTTTGCATCACCTCGGCCCAAAAAATCACCGGGTTTGTCACTTTGAAATAGGAGCTCATGCAAGACACATCAAGCTAGCTTGCTGGTAAGGCTCTGTCCCCTAATTTTACAAACTTTGCTAAAAAAACGGGCTATATTGCAAACTTGACAAATGCCTATTTGACCAGACGGAAGTACAATTCTTGGGCTATACTATTTCGGCCTCTGGTTTTCAGATGGACCCATGTAAACTAGAAGCTGTTCTACACTGGCCATTATCCAATGGGTTAAAAGCCATTCAAAGGTTTATTGGATTTGCGAATTATTATAGGAGATTCATTAAAGGTTTCTCTACTGTAGTAGCAACCATCACCAATTTTACTTGAAAGGGGGTTACTGTAATATATGACCTAAAGAAGCTTTTGAGCTACTTAAAAAATTATTTGCTTCTGCTGACATGTTGGTACACCTTGACACTAGCAACCCTTCATACAGAGGTAGATACCTCTGAGACAGGGGTCGGGGCTGTCCTTTCTCAGAGGGAGAGTCAGGATACCCCTTTGCATCCTTGTGGGTTATTTTCTAGAAAGCCAGCGGAATGCAACTTTGATATTGGTAACAGGGAATTGTTAGCCATTATCCTAGCTCTGAAGGAATGGCGACATCTTTTAGAAGGTTCCAATGACCCTCTCCTGATCATAACTGATCACAAAAACTTGGCATACATTGGAGATGCTAAAAGGCTGTCTTCTAGACATGCTAGATGGTCATAGTTCTTGTCACGCTTTAACTTTATCATCACGTACAGACCTGGTCCTAAGAATGTTAAGGCGGATGCCCTATCTAGGCAATTTGACCTGGAGGTGGAACAAGAAACCTCTCCCATCATACCACCTGAATGTATCATTGCCTCTATGCTTCTTTCCTTGTCTTCTCCTCTTATTTGTGCTCTAAGGCACCTAGTGATAAACCTCAAGATAGATTGTTTATTCCATTATTG